GATTTGATTGCTATGCATGCCATCAGGTAAAATCCATGTGTTTCTTTAAAAGGTATTTGCAATGAATAATTTATTGAATGTGCAGAACTCTATCATTTTATCTCCAGCCTCATTTCTCTCACCGAGCCCATGTTTTCCAGCTACTGATCCTTCTTCCCTGTTCCCAACCTTTGCATTCTAGTCGCCCATTATTAATGCATCTTCATTGCATGTTTGATCAATTTCTGACTGCAAAAGTTGGTAAAAATCTTCTATTTCCTCTTCTTTGGCTCTAGCTGTTGGTGCATATATTTGAATCATAGTGGTATTCACTGGACTTCCTTATATGTATATAGATAATATCCTGTCGCTCACCACATTGTATCTCAGGATAGATCTAGAAATGAATTTTTTAATTATGAAACCAACCCCATTTTTCTCACCTTTTCATCTCCAGCAGAGTAAATCATATGAACATCTGATTCAAAATGTCCCATGCCAAGCCATCTCATTTCGCAAATACCTAGTATGTCAATATTTATTCATTCCATTTCTTTCTTAACAATGTCCAATTTTCCTACATTCATGCTTCTCACATTCCACGTTTTAATCACTAGTGTTTCCTTACAGCTGTTTCTCTTTCTCCGTGTTTCCATTTCTAAGATCTCAGTTTCAATTGCCATGTCTGTTAGTCCAAATGATAATCTAAGTGTGCTCTATTGTTCATAGGATTTTCGAAGGCCTGTAATTTCAGAAGTGGATGGTCAATCCTTCTTCCTAGTCTGTCTCAATTTTTAAATACATATAATAGTATCTGACAGACAAGCATTCTACAGAAAAGAGTAGATGAAAGACATTTATCAGTTAGAAAGACCAATATTCAATGTTGCTGCCCACCTGGCTACATGTTTGGTTGGTTTTGTGTTTTGGGGTTTTGCTTTTTGTTGTTGTTTTTTAAAAAAATCCACCCTTTCCATAGTCCACCACCAACCCTTCCTACTTTTGCTTACAACATTCAACAACCGTCTCCCATTGACCAGACCCTGATGTGATGTCCTAAGTTTCAAGCAATCAGGATTTCTCTGATTCTGACCATATCATGCTGCTGTCAGTCTCTTATGATGCAGCAGACTTAGAAATAAAACAGAAACTTATGGGGTAACCCTCCCAGAAAATTAGCAAACCTCTTCAAAACAAAAAAGGGTACATCCTTTCAGATACAGTAAACACCAAAACAATAGCAATATAGAAAATTATAAGGAACACTATAAGCAAAATGAACTCAGCACAGAAAAGCAGACAGAAAATATGAGCAACAGCACAAAAAAAAGCAAGCACCAAATTGGAAGTAATAAAATGACATCATCAAAAAAAATGATACCTATCAGTAATGAATGTGAATGGACTACATCTACTAATCAAGAAAAAAAGGTAGCAGAATGAATAAGAAAACATGACTCTTCAATATGCTATCTACAAGAGACAAATCTTAGATACAAGGATAAAGACTGAACATCAAAGGTAGAAAAGCATCCATATCGGTAAAATGATCTCGGTTTGTCAATATGATACTACATACAGAAAATGTGCAACAATGAATGAATGAAAACTCAACCTTTCTGTAACCTTCAATTAAAATCACAATGAAAAAAAAAGAAAAGCCCAGAAACTCAGTAAGAAAATTACTGGATCTAATTCACCAATTTAGCAAGGTGGCAGGGTACAAAAGTGACACCAAAAAGTCAGTCAGGTTTTCCTACAGTACAAAAGAGAACTCTGAAAAGGAAATAAGAAGTGAAATGTTATTTATAAGTCACCCAAAAGATGGACTATTTAGGAATAAATCTAACCAGCTATTTAAAAGACCCATCTATGCAAAGAAAACAACAAAGCAGTACTACACAAACCCAAAGACACCTACATATATAGATAAATAGTATTTTCATGAACTGAAGACTTAACATTGTGAAAATGGCAATACTATCAAACACAATCTACAAATACAATGTAATTCCTATGCAGATGCCATCCTTTTCCAAAGAGATGGAAAAAGTAATCACCAACTTCATATGGAAAAGAAAGAGTTCTTGGATAAGCAAAGCAAACACTGAAGAAGAAAAACAAATTACGAGGTTTTATACTTTCTGATCCCTAAACCTACTCTAGTAATCAAAACAAGCAGTATTGGTATAGCAGATACATAAGGCCAATGGAATAGAACTGAGAACTCAGTCATTTCACCCATAATGCCTTTGAATTGTGGTGCCTGAGCAGAGTATTAAATGTATTATGGACTGCCAAGAGAACAAACAAGTCTGACCTGCGTGGGGTGAAATCAGGCTCCTTGGAGGCAGGAATTATGAAATTCACATCTGTCACATAATTTGAGTATATTCTTAGGAAGGAAGAACCAGTCTTTGGAGAAGAATATCATGCTTGGAAGGGTAGAGGGTCAGCACAAGAGAGGGAGACCCTAGATGAGATGGATTAACACAGTGACTGTGGCAAAGAGGTCAAGTGTGTCAGAGATGATGAGACCGGCTTAGCACTGGGCAGGGTTCAGAGCAGTAGCTCATAGGGTTGCTATGAGTCACAGTCAACTAGAGGAACATAACAAACCCATGGACAAATGACTTAACAAAGAAATTAAATTCGTCAGGTGGGAAAAAAGTCTCTAACAAGTAGTGCTGGAAAAAAACAGGTAACTATTTGTCAAAAACTGAAACAGCACCCATATCTCACACCATATATAAAAAATAACGTAACATGTATCTAAGGTCTTGGCATAAAACCTAAAACTATAAGGTCATAAAAATCTATCGCATAGACTATCAACTCTAACTGGTAACACAATTAGCACAGAACAAGCACAATGAATGAGACCTCTTAAAATTTAAATCCTTATGTGTATCAAAAGACTTCTCTAAAAGAGTAATAAGAGAAACTATAGACTGGAAAAAATATTTGGCAATGAAACATCTGACAAGAGATTCATCTCTAAAATTTACAAAACTCTGACATCTCAAGAAAAAGACAATTCAATTACAAAATGGGCAGTTAACATGAAGAGACACTTCACCAAAGCTGTTCAAACAGCCAACAAACACATCTTCAAGTTCAAGATCATCAGCTATTAGACAGATGCAAATCAAAACAACAATGACATACGTATCTCACCTCAGCAAAGAGCACTGCTCAGTAAGACAGCAAACAACAAATGGAGGCAAGGGTGTGGAGAGACTGAACTCTCATGCACTGTTGGTGAGAACATAAAATGGAATAACCACTGTAGAAGGAAGTTTGGCACTTTCTTAGAAAATCGGGAATAAAAACACCATTTGAGCCAGCAAATCCCACTACTAGGTATATGTCTCAGAGAAATAAAGAGCTGTTAATACAAATTGACATAGTCACAATGATGCTTATTGTAGCATTATTTACAACAGTAAAGAATGGGAAACAACCCAAATATCCACCAATGGAGTGATGGCTACAGAAACTGGTAGAGTCACACATGGAATATTATGTATCCTAATGGGTAAGGAGCTGCCTGCCAAACTAAAGGCAGGCAGTATGAATCCATTGGCTTCTCTACAGGAGAGGTGAAAACTCTGCAGGGCCATTTATGAGTTTTGACTCGATGGCTCATAACAATAACAAATAATAATCAAGAATTTGTCAAATACTGCATGACATGGATGAATCTAGAACAAATTAGTTGACTGACAAGTCAGTCACAATAGAGCACTTAACAATATAGGACCACTAATATAAAAAGTCAAGGAAGGGCTAAAAGAGATGAGTAAAGAGAGAGAAGGGATTAAAAATTAATAGAAAGGAATTCCAAAATCTCTGTAGATGTTCTTTGAAATTAATAAAAAAAATTAATAGATAATATGGGTGAAGGGAAAGGAAGTATACATAAGGGTTTGATGATACATTGTATTCAATTACACTAATCAATTACTTGTGTAACACTGAGTTGGAAGCGACCTACAGCTGATCCTCCAGTGGGTTCTCAGAGGCAGTTAATTGCGCAGGAGGAGACTGCACACCTTTCTTCCACAGCATAGCAGCTGCCCTTGAATCAGGTCCCTTGGGGATTGCCACACAGCTTCTTACCACTAGGCCACCAGCACTCCCTAACAAATTATAATTAATGTTATAAAATAAAATGAGTATAAATAACTGAATGAAAACTATATGCTTTTTAAACTTTCACTCATATAAAAAAATGTTAATACAATTTTGGTTTATGCATTCCAAAATACTTACTTCTCATTGATTTTGACTCCAATCTTCTCCAACCCAATTTTTCTTGTACATGAGTCACGACCTATTGCTAACAAAACCTGCATTTATAGAGATAAAAAACATTGATTATCACTACTAGGAATAAAATATCACAATTCCTATAGACGTTAAGATGATAATACGAAAATATTGTGGAAAAATCTTATGCTAATAAATCTGCTAACTTAAATATAATCTGTCAAAGATAACTTACTAAATTTATACACACAACATATATAGCTCTATATCCATTAAAAGGGAGCTCTTGTGGGCTAGTGGTAAGCAACTGGGTACACAGATTTAACCCATCAGCTGCTATGAAGAATAAATTTCTTCCCCTGAGATTGACTGTCTCTGAAAATCTGCCAGACTGTCAGCTCTTAAGTCCGACTCAATGGTACACAACAACAACAACAACAACAACATATCCACTAAAAACCCTGTCTGTCATTTAAAGTTCCTAGATAGTAAAACAGTTACCACACTGGCATTTGAGCCCAGGTAGAGGTGCCCAGGTGCACCCAAAGGGCTGCTATGAGTCTAGGTCAGCCTGTCAGCATCTGGTTATACACACAATCAGTAAACTTCCTATGAACTAACTATACACCCAGAAGGCCTCACTGATAAAGTCTACATGAAGACTTAAGAAATAACAGTTGTTGTTAGGTACTGTCAAGTGAATTACGACTTATGGCAACCTTATTAAAATGGATCTGAACCCTGCCCTATCCTGTGCCATCCTCATATTTCTGATATATTTAAGCCCACTGTTACAGTCACTTTGTTAATCTACCTCACTGAAGGTCAGGTCTTCCCCTCTTTGACCTACCCTGCACCCTACCATGCATGATATCCTTTTCCAAAGACTGGCCCTTCCTAACAACATGCCTAAAGTATGTGAGCTGAAGCTTCACTATCTTCTAAGGAGTACTGTGGTTGCATCTTCTTCAAGACAGATTTAATTGTTCTCTTGGCAGTCCATGGGATATTCAGTACTCTTCTCCAAACCGTAAATCAAAGCCATTGATTCTTCTGTCATCTTCAGTTACTGGCAAGATGCATAGCAAGTAATTGAGAAGATTATAGTTTGGGATCAGGCACACTTTAATCTTTAAACTGACACTGTTGCTCTTTAGTACTTTGGAGATGTCCCTAACAGCAGATTTTCCTAATATGTCTTTTCATTTCCTGATTCGTGATTACTGTGGATCCAAGTAAGATGAAACAATTGACAATTTTTGTATTTTCTTCATCTATTATATTGGCCTGGTGGTGAGGATTTTTGGGTTTTTTAAAAAAAATTTTATTTTATATTGGTTTGCTTACAATATTCATACACATCATGTTTCACACTATTCTTCATCATTCACACTGTGTTTTATATAATCATCCTCATTTGTTATGTCTTATAAAATTAATCACCATTGGGCTATGTTCACCATTACCTTGTTTTTCAGGTCCCTGTAAGATCTTCCCATTTCCTTAACCCTATCCCTCCATCTACCAAACTGTGAAGCCCTGTGATTTTGTCCCTGCCCATCCTCACCCCTCTGTTCCCACCTCATCCCTCCCTGGGTCCTCATACATGTTTTAATAGCTTTCCTTCTATTTTAACAATATGGTCTTATGCAGTATTTGTTCTTATGAGACAGACTTAGTTCACTCAGCATAATGCTTTCTAGTTTCTCCCAAATTACACAGCATTTCAGAATCGTTGCTCCTGAGTGCTGCATAGTATTCTATTGTGTAAATGTACCACAATTTCTCTATCCATTTGGATTTTTGTTTTCTTCATGTTGAGATATAATCCATATTGAGAGCTGTAGTTTTTGATCTTTGAAAGCAAGTGTTTTCAAGTTCTCCACACTTTGAGCAAGTTTGTGTCAACTGTGTAATGCAGGTTGTTAATGAGTCTTCCTTGGATGCCACATCTGTACACATATGTACTACTCAAATTCTTCTGAGGTGCAGGAAGGGAATACTTCCAAATGGACCCTGATGTCCAAATCAGAAAACTTAAAAATAAAATTAGACTAATACGCCTCATGAACAAAGATGTAAAATCCTTAGTAAATATGGTAGTAATCAAGATCTTCACCCTGAAACCCACAGCGTCCCTTTTCAGCAGGAAGTAGCTAAGAGAATACGCCATCCGCTTTTCCTTATGACTCAGGGTGAAGTCTCTCTCAGGGAGGAGTGATAGGGAATGGCAAAGGACACACTGACAAAGGAGATTAATCAGAACTGGCTTTGACAAGCACTGTGGCATTTGGACAAGAACAAACTGGGAGGAGGGTAGAGAGAATGGTGCAGCAGTGAATGAATGGAAACCCAAAATCTCTGTAAATGTTAATGAAAATTAATAAAATATAATTATAGAAAAAAAATCCACTATGACTAAGAAGTTTGTACCAAAAATGCAAAGCTGGCTGACCATACAAAAATTAAGTTCTACAATTAATCATACAAATAGAACAAAAGAGAAAAGGAATCATTTCAAGAGATGCAGAAAAAGCACTCAACAAAATTTAAGACCAGGAGTGGCATCCACTTCCTAAACCACATGCCTCTGGAAACTATGAACTTGGAAAAATGATGATAGCTAAGGAAAGGTATTGGGTCTTTTGTTCATAGAATTACTATGAGTTGTGCTTAACTAGGCGGCAATCTCCAACAACATATACTATGACAGGTTTGGAAGCAGGAGTGACATCCACTTCCTAAACCAAATGCCTCCAGAAACTCTATGAACTTTGTTAAATATGGAGAGTTGTAGAGGGGCTTCAGTCTTTTGCTCATAGGGTTGCTATGAGTTGTTTTTGACTTCAAGGCAATCAACAACAATAACAACATGATTAAAGCAAAACAACCATCAATACACTAGAAACAGAACTTCCTCAACCCAATAAAAGGCACCTATAAAATATCAAATGCTTACATCATAGCAATGGTGAAAGATTTTAACTCAAATATGAAGCAAACCTCTGTGCCCATGCAAAGGTCATGGCCATATGTGTGACTCTGAATATGTGCTGCTCTTCACAATTTCCCATGTGAGGCTCCTATTGCTGAGGAGGAAGGACTGTACATAACATCACATATTCAAAGTGATCACCATCTTTGAGAGGGACACTGGTGATTTTTTCCTACATAGATCAAAATACTACTGGCAACAAATTGGGTTGCTGTGTTAAGTAAACAAGGCCCTTGTTTATGATGGCAATTAGTGAACCACTGGTCCAAAGCCCTGAAACAAAAAGTTAAAGATACAGACACTTTTTCAAAAATCCCATTTATAACAACATAAAAATACACTAAGTACCTAAGACTAAATCTAGCCAAAGATTGTCTTGACCTAATGGAATTATTTATACTTTATTGAGAATCACTAAGCCCATATAAATTAATGGAGAGATACACCATGTCAATGGAGCCCAGGTGATAAGAGTGCATAATATGGTCATTAGTTTCAAACCAGTAAGTCAGTGACTCCACAAGACAAAGCTGAACAGTCTCCTGTTGTAAAGACGTACAGCCTCAGATGTGCTGAGTCAGAAGTGACTCAACAACTCAAACCCCACTGTTATCAAGTCAGAACTGATTTATAACTGACCTCTAGCAGGTTTTCAGGAGCCTGTGAATCACACAGGAGAATGGTCATCTTTCCCTATAGAGCTGCTTGTGGATTTCCACCACCAGAGAGGCTCATCAGTGTATGGACTGGCAGCACAACTCCCTACGGACTGCAGCACAAGAGCTCCTTCAACGCTGGTGTTGTTAGGTGCTGTCAAGTCAAGGGCAACTTACAGGGAGCCTATGAACAAAAGATCTGAATCCTGTACTACCCTGTGTCATCCTCATCATCTCTAATACACTTAAGCCTGTTGCTGTAGTCACCATGTCAATCTACCTCACTGAGGTCCACCTTTCCAAGCATGGCGTCCCTTTCTAAAAAACAGCCTCTCCTAGCAAAGTGTCCAAAGTGTAAGAGACACAGCTTTGCCATCCTTGCCTCAAAGGAGCATTCTGGCTGCACTCTTGCCAAGACGTATCTGTTCGTTCTTTTGGCAGTTCATGGGATGGATCTTCAGCACTCTTCAGTACTGGGGGTTTCATATATCATACTACTATATCAGAAGACTCTAAAGAAGTCATTGATTTCCAACTGATCTGTTATGTCTAGAGGGTGAAATTTGCTAGTACATAACAAAAATAATCTATATATTCGTGGTGGTTGTGTTAGATGCTGTTGCATTACTATACACTTCATACTGTACAAATAAGAGATTAAAACTTTGCCATATCTTGTGCCATACTCACAATCACCATTATGTTCAAGTCCATTGTTACATTCACTCTACCTATCTTGCTAAGAGTTTTCTTATTTTTCTCTGATCCTCTACATTTCCAAGCATAATAATGCCTACATTATTATAATGACAACATGTCCAAAGTATATGAGACAAAGTTTCATTATACCCTTCACTCTAAAGAGCATACGGTTTGCACTTCCTCCAAGACTGGCTTGTGTGGTTGTTTGAAATTCCATGGCATAGTTAATACTTTTTGCCAGTAACACATTTCAAAGACATCAATTCATTTTTTTGCTTTCCTTATTAACTGTTCAACTTTCAGATGCACAGTAAACAACTGCAAATACCATGGCTTGAGGGTAGCATACCTTACAATGACACCTTTACCACTTTAAAGTTGTCTCTGATGGTAGATTTGCCCTTCGTAACAAGTCTTTTGATCTCCTGACTGCTGCCACTCTGGATATTGATGGTGAAGCCAAGTAAAATGAAATCCTAGACAATTTGAACCTTTTCTCCCTTTGTCATGATGCTTTCCTATTGGTCTAGCTGTAAAGATTTTTGTTTTCTTCATTTTGAGGTATAATCCGTAGTAAAGGTGTTGTCTTTGATCTTTAGAAAGTGTTTCAAGTCTTCTTCACTTTCTACAAGTAAGGTTGTGCCCTCTGCATCATGTAAGGTAATGATGAGTTTTCCACTAATTCTGGTGTCACACTCTTCTTATATAGTGCAACTTCTCAAACTATTTGCTCAGTACACAGATTGAATAGATATAGAGAAGGTATATAACCCTGATGCACACTAGCCCTAACTTTCAATCAGGTTGTCCCTAAATTCTGTTCAAACAACTGCTTCTTGGTTTATCGACAAGTTTTCCACAAGCCACAGTGAAGTATTCTGGAATTTCCAGTCTTCCCAATATTAGCAATAATTTATTATGATCCATAATGAAATTCCAATCAATATCAAATCAGGTTTGGATTTTTGCTTTTGGTTTTGTTTTACCTTTGTTGATCCTCTCTGTTATACTTGACTATGAAAAAATATCATATTTATAAGAGTATTTAAAAATATCTATGTGTAAGTTTAGATTAAGTTGCAAATTATAGTTTACAAAACAAGTTTTACAAAACATCCAAATATCATCACTTTAAAAAGTTTCTGACATCCAAAATACTCCATGAACTATTTATGCTATGTGGATAACTTAATGTGTTCCAAGATTTTATTCTAGGAATAACTACACATTCACCTTACTATGCCATATCATCGTGTATTGATGAACACTGTCAAATGTGAGGAGCCCAACTATGTTCATACTTATTACACTCTTAGGGAGCATAAAAAAATTAAAAGCTTCGTCTATGTTAATTTAAGAGTGGATTCAACAATTTGTTGCTTATAAAAGAAGGTCTTACTGTGTTATACACGTCTTCAATAGTTTCTGGTCCTTCAATGGATTTAGCCACCACTCTGAGCTTTCCAGGTGTACCTTTCTCCAACTGTTGAATCTAACAAAGAGAAATAATGAAAAATACAGAGAGGACAAAAAATAATGTAAGGTATCAAAAACCAAAAAGCCCCTCAAATGCACTGCCATCAGGTTGGAACCAACATATAGCTCTCATGCAGATTTCTGAGGCTGCAAATTAAACAGGAATAGGCAGCCTCTCTCTCTCCCCTGAAGCCACAGATGGATTCACTCTGCCAGAAAGAAGCCGCCTTTGGATTGGCAGTGCAACTCCCTATGGATTTCATCACCAAAGCTCCCTAAAATAGCCTAAAGATAGAAAAATAAATGGACCAAAGAAAATGTATATATTTACATGACTGGGTGTATGTATGTGTACATAGGCATTTAAGGGGTGTTGACTAAAGAATGGTTAAAAAAAAGACTGTCACAGGTACAACATATAAGTAGAAATTAATTACTGAATTAACTAAAATAGGAGAAAACATAAAAAGAAAAACCCAAGCTTCCTAGGTACAGCTTTAATAAATTATGTGGATGATGATAAGTATGAATTAACATTTAGTGAGTATTGACATGAGTAAAAAAAATTAGCAGGGGAATATATATTCAGGTAGAATATCAAGAATTTCATTTTATCTTAATACATTTGAAATACTTAAGGGATGCCAGCAGAAATACGCAGTAGGTAGATACATAAATGAATGTGGAAGTCAAGATCAATGTTTAAACAAGATACAAATCTGAGAGTCATTAGCATTTAGAAAATACTTAAAACTAGAGGCCTAGAAAAGAAAACCCAAGAAAAGAGTGAATAGACCAGCAGGATAAAAGGTAAGGTGCTCTGAGAGCTGAGCTGACATGGACTGGGGAAATTACAGAATATGGGACTACAGAAAATTGAGGAAGGAGAGTGTTTCAAATAGAAGGAATATAAATTTCACCAAAGGTGGCTGAGGTCTAATAAGATAAGAACAATTACATGAACGATGGACTAGACAGTGAGAATCTGGATAAAAAAAATATCAGTTTCAAGGGAGTAGTGGGGAGAGAAGCAGTTAAGAATCCGCTGAAGAGTAAAATGGTAGCAAGACATTTGAAGCAGCATATACAGACTTTTTTGTGATAGGAAGGGAAGAATGACACATAACCAGAAAGAGAGGTCCAAGGAAAGACTGAATGTCTAGAGATGAGACAGTGAAGGGAAGAAAAGTACCTGAGATGGATATATAGTCCTTAAAACTATGGGACAGAAAAGGAAATCCAGCCTCTGAAAAGAGTAAACACTCTTTTCCCAGTATCAAAGGAGGTAGATAATGATGGCAAAAGCACACAGCAGAGCAATAGGCCTAGTGGTCGAGTACCATTTTTACAGAAAGCCTGCAGTCAGGGACCTCTCCAGATTACTGAAGAGCAATGTTGTCAGTTTGAAGATTATGGGGCATTTGATTTAGGCTATGGTCTTTCCAATCATCTGAGAGCTTGCCAATGAATAAGGATGACAGAAGAATTGATGCCTTCTAGCTGTGGTGGTTGAGAAAGGAACTGAATATCCCATAGACTTCCAAAAGAACAAATAAATGTCTTGAATAAAGTGCAGTCAAAATGCTCTTTAGAGGCAAAGATTGCTAGCAGGCGCTATTCCCTGAAGAGGGATATGATGCTTGGAAAGGTGGAGGGTTGGCAAAAGCGAGGAAGACTCTCGATGAGGTGGACTGACATGGTGACTACTGCAGTGGGCTTAGGAAGTATGAGAATGGTGCAGATTAGGGCAGGGTTCAGATCTATTGTTCACTGGGCCACTATGTTTTGAACTTGATTCAACAGGTCGTAACACCACCACCACTTGAGGACAGTGAAAAAAAAGAAGAGTAAAAGAAAGTTATATAAGGAAAGAGTGTTGTTGTTGTTGTTGTTGTTCTTGATAAGTGTCGTCGGAGGCGACTCATAGCAACCCTATGAACAAAAGACCTGGACACTGGTATAACTTTCGTACTTTCTCCAGGTTCATAGGGTTTCCAGAGGCAAGGTATTTTAGAAGTGTATGCCACTCCTGCTTCCAAGCTTGTTTTAATCGGGAGCTTCACCAAACACTGTCCACCGTGAATAACCATTCTCACATTTGACACATCAGTGCCACAGTGTTCAGCTTCACAGCGACCACAAGTTACCTCTGTACAGCAAGTGGACATACCAGGGTTACACAACCTAGAAGAATGTCTCACCAAAAACAAGAAAAGGCAGACCCGAGGGCTGCGGATTAGTCACCTACCTTTGGCTTGGGAGCATGACTTTCTGTCCACTAGGCCAACTGATCACTCTCTCAAGGAAAGAGTAAGACAGAAAATAAAAAGAATTCCAACTGTTATTCAAACTTACCGTCACAGGTATAAATTTTCTTAAAAACTTAACACCATGTTGTTCCATATAGGAACCCACTTTCTCTGCCATTTCTTGATCAAAGCCACGAAGGAGGATTGATCGCACCATCACTGTGACATCTAATCCAATGCCAGCAAGAAATCCTGCACATTCCAAGGCAACATAAGATGCACCCACAACTAATGTTTTGCCAGGGCAGTAAGGTAGAGAAAAAAGGTCATCACTGAGGGGGAAAAAAAAGAAAAAAAAAGAATAATCAGGCAATAACAATGAAATTCATTATTTAGGTTTCAATGTCTTTTGCTTTCTGAATTACAATTTGGTGCTTGAACAAAGAACACAAAAAAGAAATATTCTGGAGTGTGTATTTTAAAATTAGTAAATATCTATGTACAGAGAAATGCGGAAGTGCAAGCACAGCTCCAATTTTTAAAAATCAAATTAATGGGTCACAAGCAATAAATTAAAAAAATACTTGATGGCATTCCATATATTAAGCCAAATATAACCTGGTGCTATCAAGTCAATTCTGACTCACAGTGGATCCCCCACAACAGAGTACAAACTATTCCTACCACACCGGGGTTTTCAGGCTATGGACCTTTACAAAGGCAGACGTCTACATTTTTATTTTTCTTCCACTTGAGGCTGGCAGGCTTGAACTGCTGACCTTTTGGTTAGTACCTGAGCACTTAACTACTGTACCACCAGGGCTCCTTCACGTATGCAGAAAGAAGTAACAATAATTGCTTACGAGGGATATATTCAGTAAAGTAGGTTCACCTGTACAATGAGGCCATTTTTTTAATTAATTTTTTTTTTTTTATTTTTGTGTGAGGGTACCATCAAATCGGATCTGACTGGTACAGGAGGAGATTGTCCCTCCTTCCCTGGCAGAGCATCTGGTGGATTCAAACCATGTGCTTCTGGGATTGTAGTTGCAGCTCCTTGCCACTAGGCCACCAGAGCTCCCCTGAAGCCATTTTTAAAAAGTATTTCTTAACGTAAATTTCATTTAAAAGACTAAAATTGCTGCACTATATAACACCTCTTTAGGACCATCCAAGGAAGCTTCTTCGCCACTTCAAGATTAGGCCTCACTATGCTTCTCCTGACCAACTGGTGCACTTATTATCACAGACAGGAAAACCCTAATGGCCACTGCATTTACATCTTTGCTTTGTATGCTAAAAGCCATATTCCTAGAATATTCCCAACAATTATAAAGTCACTTATAGCACATCTTTTTGGTATATAAATTTCACCACTGACCTTACCATTTGTCTAACTTTATTTCTTTTCTTGTACTGTATGCACTTTTATTTTGCTATCAAATTTTTTATGAAAGAAGACAGAATAAGCAAACTGAAAATAAATAAATATAACGTAATGGCAACTATGTAGTTGGTTACCCAGTAGTAAAAGTCATTTTAAAATATCATCAGATGCCATTCAAAATCCCAATGAGCTATTTTTCTACTCACACAAGTATGGCTCAAAGCAAAACGACACAGTGGGGAGCAGGGGGAAATCCCCAATAGAAAGAACTTGAAATAGAAAATAACAAATTTATTTAGTGCAAATGAAACTTTAAACACCCTCATGTCCCACAATACAACGATCTATTGCCATGACATTGGAATGAAGCCTCTGCAAATGAAACTTTAAACACTATTAGTGGGAACACAAAATGGCACAGCTATTGAGCTCTGGTGGGTTATGAGAAGCTAAGAAGCTGTGCTGCAATCCCAAAGGTATGTGGTTCAAATTCACTAGCTGCTCTTCAGGAGAAAGATGGGCAATCTACTCTCACGAAATTAATTGCCTCTGAAAATGGGCTGAAGGGTCAGCTATGAGTCAATTCCACCTCAATGGCACACAACAACAACCTAGACAATTCTGCTTCAGTTCTTCTGCAAACAAATTGACACAGCAGTTCTCTCCCTGGACTTCAAAGCAGAGACTCAGAGACACCACACTACAACACTACAACACTATTTACAGGAGTCATAACGGGGAAACAACTTAAATGTTCTTTAACAGATGAATGGATAAACAAAATAATCTGGTATATTCATCCATAGAATACTCCTCAGTCAGTAGGAGAAACAAAGTCTATACACACAAATATATATACATGTATATAAAATATATACACACACACGCACACACAGGAATGAAGAGTGGAGCTATTACACTTAATGAATTAAGACAATCACAAAAAGACATATAAGATCTCACATATATAAAAAGGTAAATGCACTGAAGTTTATTAATGGTTACCAAGGGCAAGAGAAAGAGGAAAAGAGAATACAGAATGCTGAGTTTTTATTTATAGTGAAAAAAAAACAACAACAATGACACTGGACAAGTGTTATTAATAAATTGTACACTTTAGAAAGTTAGCAAAAATTATGACTAATATTTTTACAACATAGAAAAAAAATACATAGTAGCTCTTGAGGCTGCTTAAGTACAACCAAATATGCCATAAAATTTGATTCTTTGCTTTAGAAATGTAAAGTCATGAATTCATGTGCCATGCTATTGAATTAGCCGAAAAACATGTGTAGTGCTTATACTCTACCTCCTAGTTTGTTGTGTAATTCTTAAAAGTCTTGCAAGCAGCCACTTAATGTACAATAGTCTCTATTCACCTGGGCCGGCAGAGGGAAGGAAGAAAGAGAAATGTGCTGTTGTTAGATGTCTCTGAGTCAGCGCTGGCTCACGGCAACCTCACATACAATAGATCACTGTTGTTGCACTCACTGCATCAATCCATCCCACTGAGTCTTCCTCTCTGCTGACCCTCTACGCTTGTCCATCCTGACAATATACACAAAGTATGTGAAAAAAACTCTCATCATACTCCCCTCTAAGGAACATTCCAGCTGCACTGCTTACAAGAGATTTACTTGTTCTTTTGGCCATCCATAAGACATTTAATTTAATATTCTTCTCAAAATGAGAGGCCAAAAAAAAAATGCGAGGCCAGCAAGATCAATGGCCCCCTTTGCCACAGGACAGAAAAAGTAGAAGGTATTTGTCTACCATGTTGAACACTTTGATCAGTTTCTATAGATCAAAAAGAGGAGAGGGAATATATATAAGACTTTGCAATTTTTAAGGACGCCAGACTTTGCCAAGTGATAGAAGCTACACAACCTCATGAAACTCCTGTCCTAAAATATCTTTAAACCATAAAACAAAATTAAACCTTGAAGTCTTCTCAAACTACACGATCCAAAATTCCTGTCCTGAATTTCTGTCTCTAAACTGCAAACTGTAAAAATACCCTGAGGTCTTCTCAAATCTAATTATTAAACTAGAATAAAAGGAAAGCAGGCATCATGATCTTTTAAGAAGTACCTATATGGGATCAAAGTGGACACAATAACTTGAAAGATTACCTAAGAACCTTCAGAAGACAGGGAGTTTGTCATGAGGAACAGCTCTCAAAAAGGTTAGTAAGAATGGTTGTACACCTCAAAAAATGCAGTCAACATCAATGAATTAAACATGTGGTAATAAGTGGTGACTGTGTGCTCTTAACAATAAGGTAAGGACATTTTTAAAAAATCATCAGTTGACATTTAAGCTGACTCTGCATTATGGGGTCTGTGTATCAGAGTGGAATTATGCTCCACAACATTTCCAATCACTGATGTTTCGGAAGCACATAGTCAGGCCTTTTCCCTAAGGTGTTTCTGGGAGGACTCAGACTTCCAACCTTTCTAGCAGTTGAGGATGTCAATCACCTATACCACTCCAGGGCTCTAATCTTACCTAGTAATACAGTATTCCTTATCTCCTTGGATTCCTAAATACCGTGGCCTTTCACCGGTTGCTATGACAAATTTTGCAGCAGTGTAAGAAGTTTCTTGCTCTTTTCTATTGGTTGCCTTGAAAAAAGAGAGACAAACTTCATTTACTCAACAAACACTAATGAGTATCAGACATGTGGACAAAAAAGTTACTACTCTTAAAGAGCTTCTAATTCAATAGGAACACCATAGAAATAGTTAATGATAATGTATTGTGTGGCACGCATTAACATAGATGACAGAAGTCTGAACTAAGTATTAAACATACAACTATACTAAAAAAAGCAAGGGACAACAAAGCCAGTCAAGGGACAGATTTAGAAAAGACAGTATTTAAATTTTATATGAGAATAGTGAAAGGAAACACAAATATCTAAAACACAGGTGTCTTATTTCTAGGAAATACATAGGTCTTACTTTTAAGAACTAAGGACCTAAAAGGAAGAGCAGCAGATACAAATATAGACAGGGACAGCAGAGCCTTTCCGCTAATCCAGGCTTCTGGAGACCCATTTGCCAGAGTCATGCTGTGCCACGCATGACTCACAGTGGATGACAGTCTGTGTGAGCAGACCGCCACGCCCTCCCTTCTAAGACACCTGAGTAGAATCAAACTGCCAGTCAGTCTTTCAGATGTCAGCTGAGCACATGTATGTGTACATGTACATATAAACACATACTCCCAAAATAAAAACCAAACCCATTGCTGTCAAGCTTCTTCTGATACAGTGACTCTATATGACAGAGTAGAACTGCCTGTAGGTTTGCAAAGCTGTCGACCTTTATGAAAGCTGACTGCCACATCTTTTCCTCCAGAGCATCTAGGGTTTCGACAACCTCTCAGTTAGCAAGCAAGCACTTAACCACTGTATCACCAGAGCTCTATACATACAAACTAAGGACTGAAAGTAGCTGGTATTGTTGTTGTTATGTGCTGTCGAATCAACTTATGATCACAGCAACCCTATGAACCATGGCTCTGAATCTTGTCTTATCCTGAGCTACCCTCATGGTCACATGGACACACTTGACTCTATTGCCACAGTCACTGACTGTGTCTAACATCTCGCCCAGGGTCTTCCACTTCTACACTGACCCTCCACCCTTCCAAGCATGATGTCCTTCTCCAACATGCCCAAAGTACGTGAGACAGAGCTCCAAAATCCTTGCCTCCAAGGAACAATCTGGTTTCACTCTCTCCGGGACAGATCTGTTAGTTCTCTTGGCAGTCCATGGCATATGTTCAATAGGCAGATAGCAAATGGTCAAAAGTAACTGGAGGCTTTTCCATTTCCCAGACAACCACACTCAAGTGCTAGCCCTAAACACCCCACTACAGCAATGAGACCCTTAGCGATTCCTTTGGAACATGTCAAAAGTGACAAGTCTTTCCTTTCTACACTCCTTCTGGTTTTCTGGGGAACTAGTAGCCCCCTCTTTGAGAGGAGTCCCCCCTAGAAGACCTGGCACATACAACCCAGAGATAAAGCCTCTTTGAAAAGTTACTTGGCCAATGAAATTTGGATTTCCAGACTGGGCTCAGATTCCATGTCTACAGAAAAGGACCATAAAGACAGAGCTGCCCACATACAAACTTAAGAATACACTGAAACCATGTGGTCTGCTTAAGTCTACACCCTCATCCCTGTGTATTTATGTGGCCCTGTGGTTTATTAACATGGGCAGAGAAAGGAACTTTAAGACTATGGTGTACAATTATTAAAATTCGTTACATTCTAAAAAAAAAAGTAACTGGAAAGTAATCTATGCTTCAGAGAAGACTAGAAGCAAATATAAAGAACCCTATGTACTAGCCTTAAAAATGACGCTAAAGAGAAGCAGCAAAGGTTGTCAACTGCCACCTATTTTTATTGTACAAATAATTCATATATTTTTATTTAAAAAAATGATACACCAATCGAAGTTTTTAAAGAGAGAAGTGGTAACATAATCAGTGGAATGAAGGAAAGGCAAAATGTATGGTGAGCTACGTATGAAGGTCCTAAAACAAAGTAGCTCTAGTGGTACAGTGTATTACATGTTATACTGCTATGCAGAGGTCAGCAGTTCAAATCTACCAGCTGTTCCAAGAGTAAAAGATAAGCAATCTCCTCCCTTTAAGATTTTCAGTCTTGGGAACTCAATAGAAGGTTGCTATGAGCTGGAATGCTTGATGGCAGTGAATGAAAACAGAGCAAGCAACTGGTAGTAGCTGTGAGGGTAAAGAGGGAGGACCTTCAAGTTTTATGGTGATATCACTAAGCAAGGAAGTAGGAGGAGGCGCGTTTGTTGGGGAGGCTGGTTATTCAACCATGGCAGGTATACTTCAATCCAAGAAATAACATTCACTAACTTGTATTTCTACTGTTTTACGTGAATGACTGAATTCAAATTATCCATGTAATATAGTTCTTTTGTTACATTAATTTTTTTTACATTTGAACAAAAATTTACAAATCAGGTTGTTGTCATTATGTGCTATCAAGTCACCTTTAGCCATAGTGACTCTATATACAGCAGCTCTGAACCCTGCCCTGTCCTGAGCCAGTCTTACTAACTCCAACACACCAAGCCCTACTGTCCCAGTTACTGTATCAATCCATCTCATACGGTGTCTTCCTCTCCTGCACTGTCCCTCTACCCTTTGGAGCATGATATCCTTCTCCAAGGACAGGTCTCTCCTGGCCACATACCCCAAGTATGTGAGACAGAGCTTCAAAATTCTAGCCTCCAAGGAGAAATTTGGTTTCACGCTCTCTAAGACAGACCTATCTGTTTTCTTGGTAGTCCATGGTATGTTCAAGACTCTTGGTTTTCATTCATTTACATCACCAAGAACCTGCATTATGCAGATGATACAACCTTGCTTGCTGAAAATGAGGAGGATTTGAGGCATTTGCTGTAGAAGGTCAAGAAATACAGTCTTCAATATGGATTAAAGCTCAACATCAAAGAAACAAAGATTCTCACCACTGGGCCAATTGGCAGTATTGTGATGGATGGAGGGAAGATTGAGATTGTTAATAATTTCAGCTTAGCTACACAATCAACAATGTTGGCACCAACAGTCAAGAAATGAAAAGATGAATTGCACTGAAGAAATCTGCTGTCGGGGATCTCTCCAAAGTGCTGAAGAACAAAGCTGTCAGTCTGGAAATTAAGGCCATGATCTTTGTAATTACTTGTGATGCATCAGTCATCTGGACAATGACTACGGATTGACAAGAATCAATGCCTTTGAGTTGTGGTGCTGGAGAAGAGTACTGAACTTCCCACATCTCCACCAAGAGAGCAAACAAGTCTGTCTTGGAGAGGGTGAAACAAGGCAGCTCCTTGGAGGCAAGTATTTTTTTGGTAAATAAAATTTTTATTCTTTACTTACTTTAAAGTTGATATACATTGTTATTCACACCAGATCTTTACCATATCCTTTACCCAGCCCTATCTCCATCCATCAGATTCTAAGACCCTATGATTAACATTGTATTTAATAGTCCGTTGGGCCATGATTAACCTTGCAGTTTGAAGGGTCATGTGTGAAACATCTGGATTCTGGAATTTAGGTTCTCTTGTTTGGGTTGAGGGTCGAGCATAGACTACTTAGTTTTTCTTTTCATTCACAGTCCTATGTGAGCTGATTGGATTTGCTGGATTTGGCTAACAATGAGCTATGGGCTAGAAGTCTCTTGCTCAGAGTCAATCAGGTTCTAGTGGGCGAGCTTTGTACTTAAAAGTCCACTGGGCCCCAATTAAGTCTCCATTTTGAAGGCTCATGTGTGAAGTGGTTAGATTCTGGAAAGTGGGTTCTCTTGTTTTGGCTGAGGGTCAGATATGGACTGTTTGGTTTTTGTTTTTTTTTCATTGACAGTCATGTGTGAGCTGATTGGATTTGCTGTATTTAGCTAAAAAAAACAGGTCTGGTGTTAACTGTGCTTGGGACAAACATTCTTCTAAGTGGTACAGCACTGGTCTGTCAATTTGCTGTACTGAAGTAACATGGGGTTGCTGTGATGCTGAACACTGTGCCACTGGTGTGTCAAATGCCATAATGGTTACCCATAGTGGGCAGTGTTTGAGGGAGTTCTCAGATTGAGACAGGCTTGGAAGCAGGAGTGGCATCCATTTCCTATACAACATGCCTCTGGAAATCCTATAAACGTAGAGCCATGACGACAGTTATAGAACAGAATTCGGATCTTTTGTTCATAGTGGCTTGATTCGACAGCACTTTACAACAAAAACAGCATGATTAACCAATCCTTACCCGCCCAGAGGCAAGAATATTGAAGCCTCATCTCACATACTTTGGGCACATGGCTAGGAGAGACAAGTCAATGGAGGAGGACATCACACTTGGAAGGGTGGAGGAACAGCACAGGGGAAGACATGGGATGAGATGGATTGACACAGTACCTAGACTAATGGGGTTAGGTGTGTCAGAGACATTGAGAATGGCTCAGGACAGGGCAAGGTTCAGAGCTGTGTTCATAGGGTTGCTATCAGTCGCAGGTGACTCAATGGCACATAACAACAACAACAACAACATCATATACATTTTGTTTTACACCATTAAGTACAATTGATTAATGCAATTAATTACAATGCACATTCAAACCCTTATTGTATATTATCTTTTACCTAAAGGTGACAGCTTTAAAGGGAACATTCTAAATCCGTTTAAGTTATAGATAGCAACTGCCTACAAAGTAATTAATAATCTTGTCAAGATTATTTCACATGGTGCTATAAAAACAAACTTCAACAGAAATAAACCAGATATTGAGGATAACATCTGTTTTTCATCATTCTAATTTCAACTGTTCCATCAGAAAATTAATATATTTTCCTAAAATTAGAGTGATGGAAAATAATATAAAACAAACCAAACAAAAAACTACAGTACATTCCAACTTCACTGTCAACCCAAAGGCACGTGGTTCAAATTCACCATTGAAATATGGGCAAACTCCTACACAATTTATAGCCCCAGAAAACCCACTGAGGGATCAGCAATGAGCCGGGTCTGACTCAACGGCAGATAACAACAACAATCCTCAAATTACTTATAGCAATAATATGCACTGTCATTTTAGTTAAGACTTTATTTTTTAAAAAGGATTCTACTGCGAAAATTTTGCTATTCAGTCTTTTGAACTTTAAACTTCTTCAAAACATTTTTCCTCTTAAGGTAGTAATAAAATCAAAGGGCAAATAATAAATGTAATGTGTTCTTTCAAAAGTAAAAAGTAGTTTCTTCTATTAGACAGACATTTGGAATTAACAGTGGGGCAAATGCCCGTGTGTGATTTGCTATAGCCATGAAAAAGAATTTTAGTTAAGGGTATGTACAATCAATAATAAAGAAAAGTAACAAACAAAACAAAAAAATTCAAATGGTACCTTTATTTTGTGATGGTCAACAAATGTTCCATAAGAATTGATATAGGTCACAGCTTTTTCCCTCAAAGACAACTTGTAACCCCAATTTAAAGAGCCTATGTAGTTCTGAATTGCTTCTATCATTGTCTCCCAGTTGTGCTTAACTGAAAATAAACAAAGGTGAAAACATAAAATTAATTTTCTTTTTAAAGGCAGATCTTAATATTGCCACACATGAACCACAATACACACTATGTAAGATTCAAGATATGGATGTGATATAATTTGCAACTTATACCTTATTTACGCTAGTTACTATTGATATTTCTTCCTATTTGTTCAAAAGGTAAAATTAGAAAAAAAAATTGGAAAATGATCCACAGCAGGAAAACTGACACTCATATAGTAATAACTAACTACCCTGAAGTAATACAAGAAGACCATATTTTCTAAAATTATGGTTGTATTTATTAAGCTGTCTTTATAGCTTAATAAATGTAACCATAATTTAAAAAATATTATTGTGGCTAATTTATTTATATAACTAAAAATTAATTTACGTAACTAAGGGGCACCAGCTACCATTTCTCTGTCAGTTTGTTGTACTGTAGTAGTTAGTGGGTTGGTTTTTTTTTTTTTTTTTTGGTTACTTTTTTCCCCTTTAAAGGCCGTTTTTCATTCAAATACACTGTATTCCACAGATTCCTTATTTACATTGTTTCATATGATCATTTCCATACATGTGTCTTATAAAATTAATCACCACTGATCTATGCCCACTATTACCCCATCTTTTCCAGATTCCACTGGATCTTTCCTAATTCCTTGACTCTTTCCCTTTGCCCACCAAACTCTGTGACCCTGAGACTCCCACTTGTGGAAGCAAATGAGGGAGGATACTTTCAAGTAAATAATAAGCTCCCTTAGCAGGAAAACCTGTAAGTCATCTAATTTCCTCAGGGTTTATTCCTAGCAGTGGAACAGCTGCATCATATGGAATTTCTATGTTCAGTTTTTGAGGAAACACCTAACTGCCTTTCAGAGTGGTTATACTATTTTACAATCCCACCAACAGTGTATGAGAGTTTCACTCTCTCTATAATCCTATCCAACACTTTATTTGCTGTCCTGTTAAACTTTGCCACTGCTATTGGGGTGAGATTGTGGTTTTTATTTGCATCCCTCTTATTACCAGTGATTTTATGTATTTCTTCATGTGTCTGTTAGGAAGACCATCTTTATTCAGGAGCACTTGTGAAGAGAATGTTCCAACTGGAAAAACTCAGTGAGTATAGTAAACTTACCTTATTTCATCTTGAATCCCATTCTTATTTAGCTGACCTAGCGGTTTTATAACATCAAACATCTTACATTTCTTTATAAGAAATGGGGCCAGTGCTTTCTGTTGCCAATCCCTGTTTAGAAAAATATTCAACCATTTCCTTTTGAAACTGGGACAAGTTATGACTAACTGGGATTCCTTATCCTCCTTGTATCTTCTAGGCAAAATTTATCTAATGGTTCATCTGATCTTCTAATGCAGTAGCATCAGGTACATAGGACAGTCCAGAAGGGAGGATTCAATACCCCTGACTTTGTGCTCTCACTGTAGCTGGATGAGAGTGCCAATTCCAAATGCAGCAAACCAAGGCAAGATGACATCAAAAGACTCCCCATTCTCCTCTCACTGGAAGTTTCATTACTCAACAGGGTATAGGGATGTGACAGTGCAGGAATGGAAAGAAATAGAAAGTAGTCAAGAGTGCATAGAAAGGCTAGACCCAGAAAAACTTTCCTGGCCTGGACGTCCATCCATCACCCCATCTACGATGCCAGTGTTCAACAAAATCTCCAAAGTTTTACAACCTGAAATGGTCATTCTTATTACAGCAACATTGAGGACATTTCTACCAAAACAACAGTAAGTATCTTGTTAGGCAATTCTAGTCTTTCCTTTCATATTTCACACATTCATAAACTTCTTCCAAAGTTCATTTTTATTGCCATTTTCCATTGTATTTTTTAGATTCTTACTGTTAGTAGCGTATAAGAAGCTAGAAAGCTCTGGTGGTGTAGTCCGTAGTGCATTGCTAATCCAGAGGCCAACTGCCTCCAGAAGCCTGGATCTACCAGCAGCAAACTCTTATTATAAGTTATTGTTTTCACATAATCATTCATATACCTTGTATTTCATTCATGTACAGTGTTTTATACATTCATTCCAACTGTTCCACAAAATCACTACTGATCAATGCTTTTTATCATCCATCTCATCAAATCCCCATTTCACCTTGCCTACTCCTTCACCTCCCCCAATAAACGCTAATGGGTTTTTGTCCCCTTCCCCTTATTCCATCCCCTCTTTATCAGAAACTTGATGGAAGTTTGCTATGAGTTAGAATCAACCCAAGCAGCAGTGAGTGAGAGAATGATAAGTAATCCACTGACTTATATTTACCTTAAAAGGATTGACTTACTCAATGCATTAGTTCTAATAATTTTAGCTGGATCTCTTGGCATATTGTCCTCTCTCTCATTGCCATCGAGTTAAAACCAATTCATAGTTGAAGCTCCAGCAGGCTTCAAGCCTATAAACTGCAGGATAGAAGACTGACTGCCCACCTCTCTCCCACAGAGCCACTCACTGATGGATTCTAATCCCGTCTGGATTAGCAGTGCAAGTCACTACAGACTACACTACTAGAGCTCCCTAATTCATGGCATAATGTACACAAATAAAATTAACTATTTATCACTTATACTGTAAACTTACAACGCCTTTCGATCTCCTTTTCAAATATATGTATACATTCCCTTTCATAGTCTTCATTTTTTTCTGTATTAACCAGAAGCATTAGTATGACAGTAGTGAAGTGGCCAACCCTATTGAATTCTTGATTTTAAAGTTGTTCTCCATGAAATACTTGCTTTTGACTTTACTTCATCTATAAATATCCACTGCTTTTCTTATATTTCCTTTTTCTTTTTTAAATCAAGAATAACGATGTGTAAGATTTTCTTATAAAGCATCCTTTTAGCAAAACTTGAGGCAATTTTACTGCTTTTATTTATTCTTATTTTGAACTTCCCAGTGTTGACTCATTCTGGCATCCCTGAATGTAGAGGATATGCCACAGTATCTAGGGAATGCTCTGGACTATTTGCCAACATTTTTTCTAGAATTCTGGTGACTTTAGACTTTTACAGGGTATCGTTATCCATTATATTAGGCTAAAAAAATACTAAAAGGGAAAGTTTTCCATATATGTTACATCCTAGAAGAGTTTAAATTATAAAGTATTTTTGTTCCTTACGATTTTATATGGTTAACATGTAAAGATTAAATAAGTCCAGTATCTTTTATTATTTTAAAAAATTTCTTTAATTGTGATTTCAGAGGTGGTTTAAGAAATTTTCCATTCAATCATTCATATATACTTTGTTCAGTAATATGAAGTTCAGTACTTACCTACTTCCTCCCTGTAATTCTGCTTTCCATTAATCCTTCTACACATCTTTGTATCTTCCCTTTCTTTAGTGCCACTGTGATCATCCTTTTAATGGATACTACCTTTTTCTTCACCCATCTAAATATGTGCTAATTTTTAAAGAATTTATTAAATACTATACAAAAAAATCTAGGACAAACTGTGTGACACCAATCAGCCACAAAAAGACAATTATGGTGTAAGATCGCTAATATAAAGAGAGCAAGCAAGATTTATAGAGACAGAATCTATACTGAAGGGTTAACAGAGATTAGAGGGGAGGTAGAGAGGAGTAAAAATTAATAGATAAGCTGGGTGAAGGGAAAGCCAATACACAGTAAGGATCTGATTAGACCTTTAATTAATCACATTAATCATTTGTAATTAAAGTCATAAAACAAAATGCCTATGAGCGACTGCATGAAAATCCAATAGTTTGTAAACTTTCACTTAAAAAAATAAACACTGGGGGAAAAAACACTTTACAGTAATGAAAAGATGTTGTCATTGTTGGGAGGTGCTGTCAAGTAGACTCCAGCTCACAGCCAACCTGTCCAGAATAGATCTGTATCATGCCCCAACCTCACCATCTGGTATGTGTGAAAGCCCACTGTTACAATCTTGTTGAGGGTCTGTCTTTCTTTGACCTTCCACCTTTCCCAACATGTCTTCTTCCAAGGACTGGCCCCGCTTGACACCTTATCCAAATATATGAGGTGAAGTTTCACCATCCTTACCGCTAAAGAGTACCTGGTTGCATTTCCTCTAAGACAGACTTTTCTGGGTTTGTTTTTTGGTGTTTTTTTTTGTTTGTTTTTTGTTTTTTTTGTATAAGCTGTGCTGCAATCCCAAAGGCACATGGTTCAAATCCACCAGCTGCTCTGTGGGAGAAGGGTGGGCAGTCTTCTCCGGTGTAATTAACTGCCTCTGAAAACCGCCAGAGGATCAGCTATGAGTCCGTTCTGATTTGATGACACATTGAAACAAGGGGTATTCTTCTTCAACACTACAATCCTCCTGTCATCTTTAATCATTGTCCAACTTCTAGATGCATAAGAAACAGCTGAAAATATTATAGTTTGATCAGGCCTACCTTGTTAGTCTTTAAATTCATCTCACTGCTCCTTAACACTTCATGTCAAGTTCCTCATTCAGTTATGACAAGGTCCATGACAGCAGATTTCCCCAGTGCAACGTATCTTTTGATTTCTTGACTGCTGCTATCATGGGCGCTGATTGTAGATTAAGTAAAATTAAGTCACTAACAACTTCAATTCTTTCTCCCTCTATCATGATGCTGTCTACTGGTTCGGTGGTGAGGATTTCTGTTTTCTTGATGTTGAGATGTAATCTATATTGAAGGCTGTAGTCTTTGATTTTTGGCAATAAGTACTTCAAGTCTTCTTCACTTTCTGTAAGCAAAGGCTGTGTCATCATAATGTAGGTTTTTGGGAATCTTCCTCCAATTCTGATGCGACATTCTTCTTCATATAGCCAAGCTTCTGAGATTATCTGCTTAGCTGTCATCATTGATTGCCTTTTGGTCAAACATAGTGACACTATGAACAAAAGGCCTGGAGCCTTTCTATAACTATCACCATTTATCAAAGTTCATAGAGTTTCTGGAAGCATGCTGTTTAGGAAGTAGATGCCACTCAGAATGGAGTCCTGGGTATGATGTCAAAAGAGGTCAGTCCTTAGAAGAAGATATTAAGCTGGGAAAGGGAGAGAGTCAGAAAAACAGAGACAGCCCCTCAATAAGATAAACTGAGATAGAAGCTGTCAAAATGGGCTTGAGCACACTGGGTATCATGAAGATGGCACAGGTTTGAGCAAGGTTCTAATCTGTTATTCATACAGTCACTCTGAGGCATCCAATCTGAAGCACAGAAAACTACAAAACAACAAGAATTTACAACACTGAATAACTGAAAAATAGAGGACCAGAAGAAGAAAGGAAGACCCTCAATAAGATGGACCGGCACAGAGACTGCAGCAATAGGCTTGAACATGGCGGAGATTTTTAAGGAATGGGCAAGGTATGAATCTGTTGTTCATAAAGTTGCTGAGTCAGCTCTCAATAATATTCATAGAACCAAAAGGTGACAATAATCTAAACATCCACTAAGTGAGAAATGGATGGGGAAAAAAAATGAAACAGACACAATGAAATATTACTCAGCCAGGAGAAGTGAAGTCTTGACCATGTTACAATATTGGTGAAGCTGGATGATATTGTGTTAAGTCACAAAAGGACAAATACTGCATGATTTTCACCTATATGGAAAATTTATATAGGGCACTGTGGTGGCCCAATGGTAATGAGTTGCTCTCCCAAACTGAAGGAACATGGTTTGAATCCACCACGTGCTCCATGGATAAAAGATGAACAATCCTCCTACGCAATTTATTACCCATGAAAACTCACTGGAGGGTCCGCTACAGATCAGTTCCAATTCAATGGCACATAATAAAAGAACAAAATAGAAAAGACAAGTGCAGGTAAACATATAGAGATCAAAATTAGTAGTTAGGGGCAGAAGGAAGAGCAAAAGAAGGGCAATTGGTAATGGAAAACTACACTCTTTTAAGGGCAGAGTTGCAGGGCCGATTATTTTAATAGCTGTAAGTTATATATACCCCTTATATAGTAAAAAGCTGAATTTGCAATATCTGTGTAAGGGATATATTTACAACACAACAACAAAAAGAGTTAACTGTAAATACTACTTATGCACAACCAAAAAATCTCACGGGATGTTATTTATATAATAGCCCAAACTCTCATGGGATTTGATTCCTTGGTTTAGAGGTTTATGGTTACGGTTTCAGGAAACAACACAGTTAACTGGCCAAGTAACATATTCAGTTCCTTTGTCCCACCTTCTAGCTTGTTTTGTGGCACCTACAGTCTTAACAGGACTCTAGTGGGGCAGTCCACAGCAAGATGCACTGCCAACCTAAAGGCTATATGGTAAACCACCAGCAGTTCTGAGGGAGAAAGATGAGGCTCTTCTCACTACAATTTAACAGCCTCAGGTACCCAGTGAGAGTCACTGTGAGTTGGAATCAATTAAACAGCAGTGAGTGTTAATGATCTTAAAACCTAGCAATCAGCCATCCAAGATAAAACTGTTAAGCCACAAATTTCCATGTGGTGACTGTTTGTTAGTACAGCACTTCACAATTAATTTATTAACTTTACACACACACACACACACACACACACACACACACACACACACGAGAAAGCAAGAACGAGAGAGATAAGAGAGGAGAGAGAGAGAGAGACAGGCATACAGGGCACTTTCAGGAATCTAAAATTTTATGTACTTAAACGAAGATTTAGAAATAGCAAGCACTTGGAAAGATAATCTCCTCTGGTATAACAGAGTTGTGGTACCTTCCAAATATTAGAAAGTGCAGAGAACTAAATGTGAACTAGTGGGCAGAAACATAATTGTTGTTGTTGTTGTTGTTATTGTTATGTACTGTCGAGTCATTTGGGACTCACAGCAACCCCATGTACAACAGCCCTAAACCCTGCTCTATCCTGTGCCAATTGCATGGCCTCTGACACCCCCATCCCGATTACCCACTGAATCAATCCATCTCATAGAGGGTCTTCCCCTCCTGCACTGTCCCTCCACCCTCCCAAGCATGATGTCCCTCTCCAAGGACCTGTCCCTCCTTGCAACATGCCCAAAGTATGTCAGACGAAGCCCCAGAATCCTTGCCTCCAAGAGTAGCTTGGTTTAACCCTCTCCACGATGAATCTGTTTGTTTTCCTAGCACCACAGCTCAAAGGCATCAATTCTCCATCTATCTTCCCTAGTCATTATCCAACTCTCTGATGCGTAACAAGTGATTGCAAAGACCATGGCCTGTATCAGATGCACCTTAGTCTCCAGAGAGACACTGTTGCTCTTGAGTACTTTGGAGAGGTCCCTAACAGCAGACTTTCCCATCGCAATATGTTTTTTTTATTTTCTGGCTGCTGGTGCCAAGAGTATTGACTGTGGAGCCGAGCAAACTGAAGCTGTGAACAATCTCAATCTCTTCGCCATCCATCCTGATGCTACCAATTGGTCCAGTGGTGAGAATCTTTGTCTTCTTGACATTGAGCCTCAGTCCATACTGAAGGCTGCAGTCCTTGACCTCTGCAGCAAGTGCATGAGGTCCTCCTCAGTTTCAGCAAGCAGGGTTGAATCATCTGCATAACGCAGATTAATAGATCTTCCACCAATCCAGATCAGTCAACTCGCATGCAACCGAGACATGTCTTACATGAGGCACAGATGTATTTCTGAGGACCTCTCCAACATCAATGGTATTTGCTAGAGTTTAGTAATTCACAATCTCTTCTGCACAATGAGGCTTTTACCACTTTCCCTACTTGCAGCCTATTATTTTAGAAGCCATATAAAATATGTTATGTTTTAAAAGTAACTTTTAACCACTGCCAGAACTGCAAGTACACAATTCACCTCCTATTTCATTTTGCCTTCCTGCAACATCTAAGGAAATTGACTGAACTTAGCTCCTTCTTAACACCGTTGTCATGGTGTTTCTTACAACTCTTCTAGTTTCTCTAAATATTTGACTCAAATGTTAAACATATCCCGGGATTCTACTATTTCCTATTACTTCAGATTCTCCTGTTTCTTATTACTGCCCCCAGATTATCCCATTAATTTCTATGACTTAAACATGCGTGGATAGCACTGAAACTCAGCCCTGCTGGACAACTCCAACCAGCTGCTCCAGAGGTATTTTACCCTGGGAAGGATTCATGCAAAAGGCAAACGCATGAATGTGAAAAGACTGTCCAGAAGATAAAGCAGCAAACAAAGAGGCATTCCTGTATCTACAATTAGGTGAAATTAGTGTGACCGAACCACTCTACTTGTTGATTGTCTGGGGAAATTTTTCCAGTCTCAATTGATTCAGAACTCTGGTCTGCCCAGGCACTAATCCAAAGCTAACTGCTTTCATGCAATATCTTGCATTACACCATCACTCAGTCTCTCACTCTGTATCTCTTTTTCTCCCTATGACCTACTTGGCTTATCAGAATTAAATGCCTAAGTATGAGAATCACACATACACCCACATCTATGTCATCATAATTCTGTGGCAAGAGACAATGCATTTGTAACCTTTAAAAACCAAATTCTCTTGATGAAAATGCCAACAATGAAAAGAATGAGCACTCGACAACTAACCCGTCACTACTTACTGTCAACTCCAATCCTTACAATTCACTAAACCCACCTCATGCAATCAGTCCCTCCTTAGTCTCAGTTAGACCTTGTCATTTCTTCACAGATCATCACAGTTGTGCCCTGTCATAAGCGCATTATTTTTGGCCTCCCTAGCCCAGACTTCTGCATTCCACAGAGCCATCCCAATAATCCCAAATTCTAACCCAAGTCCATACTGCTCTCCTATTGAAACGCTTCAAATAAAAAGGGAGCTATTTTGCTTCCTTTAGGGTAAAATTTAACTCCTCTAAACAGCATTAGGGACTTTGTGACTGCTTACTTCTTTCATTCCATGTCTCTCAATGTTCTTCCATTAATTTTTCACTCCGGTTACTCATAATTGCCCAAACCCCTAGGTTCTCATGTGACTATATATTTCTGTCAAATAGGCTCCTGCCCTCTGTGAAAGCTTTCCTTGACACGTCTACCCACAAGGCCACATTAGGTGACCCTTAAGGTGACGCCTAAAGCAGAACCATTGATTATAGTGCATTTCACAACAAACAGATGTCCTCATATATCTTTTTAACATATTGCTTAAGCTTAATTAATGGCAGGAGGTATATTTTCCTCATATTTGTACCTCAAAGTCTAATTAAAAGATGTTTACTGAATAACTTTCTATCTTTCTTTAATCAAAGAACATATAACAACAGTTCAGCACTTCGAATATACAAAAACATTTCTAATATATAGAAAGTGTTATCACCTTGAATGGATAAAATTCAAATGACCATTGTTGTTGTTGTTATGTGCTGTTGAGTCGTTTGTGACTCATAGCGACCCTATGCACAACAGCCCTAAACCCTGCTCTATCCTGTGCCAATCGCATGGTCTCTGACACACCCATCCCAATTACCCCAGTCACTGAATCAATCCACCGCATAGAGGGTCTTCCCTTTCTGCGCTGTCCCTCCACCCTCCCAAAGCATGATGTCCCTCTCCAAGGACCTGTCCCTCCTTACAACATGTCCAAAGTATGTCAGACGAAGCCCCAGAATCCTTGCCTCCAAAGAGGTAGCCTGGTTTAACCCTCTCCAGGATGAATCTGTTATACCACTCAAATTTCTTAATATCTGGGGCGGGGGGGGGAATCTGAAAATAGTGATTATTATTTTTTACAGTCAGCTACAGATTGGGAACAATTTCTTTCCCCATTTGGCAGACCCATGAAAGCAGGGTTATGTTTAAAGTGTTCATTTTTTCAGCCATGGAGTCAGGTTTGTACACAGTGCAGGTTTTCAGCTCATAGTGACGATCTCAGTGAAGGGTTATTAAATTCCTCTGAAGCTCAACTACAAAAATATATCTTTATCTAAGAAACTCATTCTTTTCATCTTTCTCCCAATCTGTATTTGTATATATCATCACTACTCACCTTGTTGATTATACTCCCAACCATATTTCCTTGAGTCGTGCAATGCCTGTCCCAAAAGGGCTGCTTGATGCATCAATTTCTTAGGAATACAGCCTACATTGACACATGTGCCACCAAGACCTAAGAAAATAAATCACTGCTGTAACGTTTCCTCCATATGTGTCTCTTTGTGCCATTTTCACATTTTAGTAACAACCACCATGCAGGTGTGTAAAAACACACATACCCTAAGGCAAAAGGTAGGAGAGCCAACACAATACTCCACAATAACAATAAGCTTTCAGTCCAGTTTCTAACCAAGAATTCATGGAGGAGCTGTATGGAGGGGTAAAATGCGCTAAAACTGTACCTAGGCACAGTTCCCTAGGGAAGGAAGCTGTATCTTTTCATCTGAGAGATTAGAATTTGAATAATTAAGATATGCATAGGAGAAGAATGAGCAGTCTTCTCCTGTGCAATTATGTCCTCTGAAAACCTGCTGGAGGGTCAGCTATGAGTCAGTTCTGACTCAATGGTATACAACAAGGATGAGAATACCAGGTCCATGCTTTTTACCCTATAGGACTTTATGCCTTTTCTGAAACAGATAGTCTTCCACCTCAAGCTATATGATGATATCAACTATGAATCTTAAATAATGCAAAACATATCAGGCAAAGAATCCTTTTATTATTGAACTATGCTCCCCCAAAATATATGTATGCAATGTGGAAGTAGGTACTGATCTGGATCTGATACCCCTGGATCCTGATAAAGCAAATAGTTGTAAGAAAGATTAAGAATGAAATATAATAATCCTTACTCCCACTATTTTATTAAGTGGGAATTCCCACTTTTTCACCAGTCTGAATCAAAAGTAAGGCAAGGTGCTCCCAGGGTATGGTCTGTAATACTCTTTACCTCACTAGTACATTTACTGTTGTTATGTGCTGTTGAATCATTTGCAACTTATAGCAATCCTGCATACAAAAGCACACTTAGTACTATAAAAAAAAAAACAGCCAGGAGTGGAGTGCATCTTTTTGGATTCAGGTGCCTGCATGATGAAATTCCCTGATAACATGGAAGACCAGAATACACAGTGGTCTCCAGAGAATGCTGGGCCTACAGATGCTGGAGTAAACAGGACTCTCCTCCACAATCAACAGAGAGGACTTTCCCCAAAAGCTGACAACCTGAATTTGGCCTTGCAGCCTCTTAAACTTAAGTTTCTATTTGTTAAAGTCCCCTGTTTTGTGATAACCCTGGTTACATATACCAGCGTTAAATAACAAATACAATTCTCTCCCTAATAGCCCTCTCTTCTGGTCAGAGAGCAGGATGGTAAGAGTGGAGCCCATGTGAAGAGGGAAAGAGAAAAAGGAGAAAGGAACAAGGTAACTGTCCATAAACCAAAATACAGGCATACTTTGACTGTTTTTAACAAATTGAAAAACCACCACAGATAATGCCTTTTTTAAAAAAAAAAACCAACCACCACCATATTGAAGGTGTGTGGCGATCCAGTATTGAGTAAGTTTCGCACAATTCTTCCAACAGCATGGACTCACATCAGGTCTCTGCCACATTTTGGTAATTCTCACAATATTTCCAACTTTTTCATAAAGCTAACACACACTTAACATCAAACTCAAAACTCATGGCCACTGAAGTGAGGCAAAATCAACTACTAGCTGACCCTCCACCAGGTTTCCAAAGCCGTAAATCACAAGGAAGAGACTACTCATTGTTCTCTCATGAAGCGCTAGTGGATTCAAACTCCTGGAAAGGAGCAGCATTTGCCTTAGCAGCAAAACTCCCTGCAGATGCTGCCACCAGAGCCTGCGCCCCCATGAAAGTACAGTACAAATGAGGAACCAAAAGATCCAGTCACTAACTTTATTGTAATATTAACCTTATTGGAATGGTCTGGAACCAAATAATATCTCCACCTTTACTATGGAAAACAAGTAAACTTTATTTTATAAAATTCTAGGCTTACCTTTTTTTTAAGTGAGTATAAACAACAATAACAATGACGATGACCAAGAGAGAGCTACGTTGGCCTAGTGGAAGGAAGCTGTGCAACCAAGCCGAAGGTGGGTGATTGTCATCTGTGGCCCTCAGCCAGGTTCAAATTGTCTTCCTGTCAAACATTCTTCTAGGTGGTATAGCACTGGTCTGTGCGTTGCTGTACAGAGGTAACTCGTGGTTGCTGTGATGCTGAAGCCTGTGACAGTGATGTGCCAATAGTGGTAATGGGTACCCATGGTGGACAGTGTTGGCTGGAGCTTCCCAACTAAATCAAGCCTGGAAGCAGGAGTGGCATCCACTTCCAAAATGGCTTGCCTCCGGAAACTCTATGTACGAACAGTGCTTAGGCTGTTCGTTCACAGGGTTGCTATGAGTCGTCTATGACTCGACGGCATTAAACAACAACAACAAACAATAAATTGAAAAAAAACTTCATATTTTTATCAGGCAGGAAACACCGCTGGAGACAACAGCATCCTAAACTAGTAACAGTTAGGGCCCACTGACATATGGAAGGAAAAAAAGAAGCCTTGTTGAGTGCCCTAAATCAAGGGGAAACCAGCTATCCTGATTGGCTGCCTTCCATAGAAGGATGCAGCCACCAGTAACAGCTTAGTAGGGAGGGAGTCAGGGACATAAAAATGACACAACCTCCTCTCTCCCTCGGTTCTCTATTCCCCTAAAGGGACCAAGTCCAACCTGAAGACCGCAATGTTACCACTGGCCACATTTGTAGGACACAGACTATGCACAAAAAGAATATACACAGTATAAAAACTATGTGTTTTATTTTACAGTCAGAAAAAAACTTGGGAAGGTAACTAACCTACTGTACAGGGTGAGACCACATCATGCTCTTGACTAAACTATATAAGTGCACATAGATTATCTCCATGTTCTATCATGCAGCTGTTAAAAGTCAATTATGTAACTGGAGCATGAATGCAGAAAAATGTTTGTGTAAACTTAGACTGAACAGCAAATATATGTCATCACAATTAATGTGAAAATAGTAGGATATGCACAACAAAAATGACTATGTAGTAAGTGCTGGAATACTGGGATTATAGGAATTTGTCATTTATGCAAAATGTTCTTTCATTTTTTTCATTCTATTTCAAATTTTACTACTCGTTAACTATGAAATCTTTAGTGACACTCATGCTTCCTCACTTAGGAAACAAGCCTTGTTAGACCTCTGAAGATTATGGTGAAAATTAAGTAAAATGGCACACACACACACAGCGCAAGCAATGTATCTCAAGAGCAGAGAATAATGTCAAGAATTGAATTATATCCCTGAGAATACATGTCACCTTGGCTAGGCCATGATTCTCAGTACTGTGCAGTTATCCTCTATTTTATTACCTGCCTCCATTTCTATGTCAAAGAGGCAATATTAATGTTGGGTGGGTCTTGAGTCAGTTTTACAAGATCATATGCTTCCAGTTATACCCTCATGCCAATTAGCACTCTTACTCAAGTGACACCCTTGCATGAGTCATGCCCATTATCTTTTAAGAGATAAAAGGAGAAACAAGCAGTGAGGAGGGGGACCGCCCCACCAAGAAAGAAGAGCCAGGGTGAGTATGTCCTTACTCCCAGGGTCTCCATGCTGAGAAACTCCTAGATTCAGGAGAATACAGATGCCAACACACACACAGATCTCCAATGAACATGAGGGAAACCAGGGCCTTGCCCTAGAACTGGCATCATGAATTCAGACTTCCAGTCTCCTAAACTGTGAGAAAATAAACTTCTAGTTGTTAAAACTATCCACTTGTGGCATTTCTGTTAAATTAGCACTTAACAAATAAAGACAAAAGGATAACAACAAAGAAAAACAGCTCACCCCAGGTTGTGCCATGAGGTGACGGGACCACAAAGTCTAGCACCATAACTTTCTTTCCCAAAACCGCAGCTTCCTACAAAATAATGAGGATATATAAAGATTGTGTCATTTCTGTTACATGCCCCAAATTTTGCTTTCTTCCATTTTCTATGAAAATGAATTATTTGTGTGACAGTACAATCTTTTCCATCATGATTTGTTGTTGTTATGTGCCATCGAATTGAGTAAGTCTCATAGAGACCCTATGAACAGACATGAACCCAGTCCTATCCTAAGCCATCTTCATCACCTCCAACACACTTGCTGCCCACTGCTGCAATCACTGTGTCAGTCCATCTCATTGAAGGTCTTCGCTTTCATTTATCTTCCACCCTTCCATGTATGACATCATTTTCCAAAGAACAGACTCTCCTAGCAACATGCCCCAAACCCGTGTGATAAAGCTTTGCCATCCTTGCCTGTAAGCAGCACTCTGGCTGCACCTTTTCCAAGCCATCGTTGTTTGTTTTCCTGGCAATCCATGCCATGCATATTTATGACATGATGACAGATGGAAAAAAAAAGACTTAAGTTCTCAATGATTTTATTTTACTTGGAGCCACAATCAATATTCATGGTACCAACAGTTAAAAAATCAAAAGATAAATTACTATTGTTAAATGCCACTGAGTATGACTCGTGGTGAAGCCATGAACAATGGATCTGTACTCTGCCCTAACCTGTGCCATCCTGACCATCTCGGACACACTCAATCCACCATGACAGTCACTCTGTCAACCCATATCACTAAAGATCTTCCTCTCTTTTACTGTCTCTTCATCTTTTTAAGCATGATGTTCTTTTCCAACAACATGACCCTCCTAACAACATGATCACAGTACATGAGACAATATTTCACTATTGTGGCTGCACTTTTTTCAAGACATATTTGTTTGTACAAAAGGCAGTTCATGGGATACTCAACACTCTTCTTCAACACCACAATTCAAAGCCATCAATTCTTCTGTCATCCTTATTCACTGTCCATCTTAAACTGGGGAAATCCGCTACCTCTCCAAAGCGTTAAAGAATGATGATGTTGGTTTAAAGACTAGGGTGCACATGATCCAAGCCCTGGTACTTTCAATTGCTGGCTATGTATCTGAAAGTTAAATACTGAATCAGGATGACATAGAAGAACTGGTGCCTTTGAATTGTGGTGGAGAAAGGTAATCAGTACCCCACAGACTGCCAAAAGAACAAACAAGTCTGTCTTGAGGAAGTGCAACATGGGTGCTGCTTAGAAGCAAGGATGGTTACACTTGTATATTCATATATATTCAGGAAGAAACACTTCCTGGAGAGAGAGATCATGCTGAGAAAGGCAGTCAGTGAAAGAAAGGAGGACCCTCAATGAAGGTCTGTGGATTGACACAGTGACGAATACAATGGGTATAAGACTGACTGAGACTGGATAGGGCAAGGTTCAGATCTGTGCTTTACAGGGTTGTTATGAATTGTAGTCAACTTAATGGCACCTAAAAACAACACCAACAACAATCTTTTCTCTTTATTAAACCAGTTTAAGACGGCAACATTTAAACTTTTTAAGTATAGAAATATTTATGACAATTATAGCAAAAGCTTGTTAAGTTTTACTTCCATTTCCTACCTTGGCACAGGCAAGGCCACCAGAACCACCACCAATGACAATGAGATCATAATCATACGTTCCAGAACCACGTGAATCTTCCTGAAGGACCTTCTTTAATAAGCCACTCTGATGTGCCTGCATTCAAAATGAACAGAGAGAACATTACTTGTTTATTTGCCATGTTCAATCAGGATAGATTACTTCCCTTTAAAAAAAAATCTTAGCGCCCCGCCCCTCCAGTGTCTCCGCCTGGCCAGGCAAGCCGCCGGTTCCCGGCTCGTGGGGGGGACACGTGGGTGGACAACGCCGGCCGGCCGGGACGCAGCGTGGCCGCCTCTTCCTCTTCGCGTGCACCAGGGTCGGCGTGGAAGTCGAGGAAGTCTGGAAACAATTTAATGAAAAATCAACGCTTGAAGTTTAACAATGGAGGGCTTCCTAGACAATTTCCGCTGGCCTTAATGTGAATGTATTGACTGGGGTGAGAGAAGAAATGCAGTGGCATCTGTAGTAGCAGGCATAATACTGTTTTTTACACGTTGGTGGATAATGATTGATGCGGCCATGGTGTATCCTAAGCCAGAACAGTTGAACCATGCCTTTCACACATGTGGTGTATTTTCCACATTGGCTTTTTTTATGATAAATGCTGTGTCAAATGCTAAGGTGAGAGGTGACAGCTATGAAAGCGGCTGTTTAGGAAGAACAGGTGCTCGCATTTGGCTTTTCATTGGCTTCATGCTGATGTTTGGGTCACTTATTGCTTCCATGTGGATTCTTTTTGGTGCATATGTTACCCAGAATACGGATGTTTATCCAGGACTAGCTGTGTTTTTTCAGAATGCACTTATATTTTTTAGCACTCTGATATACAAATTTGGAAGAACTGAGGAGCTATGGTCCTGAGATAACTTCTTATATCACATTTTCTTTTTGTAGTATTCTATTTGTAGATAAGTTTTTATCTTTAAATATAATTTACACATTGCCAAATGGGAAAAAAAATCTTAGAAGTAATCTATAACTGATATAAATTGGCATTATACATTTATTTGGATGCTATTCAAATAAGGTCCAACAAGTTAGAACATATGCTAAAATACATGAATATTTGACATTTTGACCTGTTACCTGATAGGCAGGCATATGTCAAATGACTAAAGAGATCTACTCAAGTACAGTGATATGACAAAAGCTGTAATTTTTAAAGACCCTCAGCATTTTATTCAATTATGGTATCATTCATTTTTAAAAACTTCTTGCCTACCATCAGAAGGATAAAGGAGCTCTAATGGAGTAGTCTATAGCATTTTTCCCTGTTACTGTAAATTTCCAGCACGTCAAACTCACCAGTGGCTCCTCCTGTTAAAATTTACAGCCTCAAAAACCCAATGGAGGGTCACTTTACATCAGATTCAATCTAATGGCTGTGAGTGATCTGGAGGATATAGCCTTTGAGTTGGGTTTTTTTCCCCCCTTTTTTCACAGCTCTTCATGACTGGATTGAAACTTTGTAGCTATAATAGAAACAGCCATTGTTGTTGTTGTTGTCGTCGTCATGTACCATCCCATCAGAACCGACCCACAGCCAACCCTCTGGCGGGTTTTCAGAGGCAGTTACTAGAATGAGAGATTGTCCATCCTTTTCTTGTGAAGAAGCTGATGGATTCAAATCACGTGCCTTTTGGGATTAGAGTACAGCTTCTTACCAATAAGCCACCAGAATTCTTCATAAATAGATTTAAACTTTGTAGCTATACTAGAAGCAACCTGTATGGTATGGCATTTCAGTAGTGGTCACAAGTTGGCTCAACACTTAATGTACTCGTTCACTTGTTCCTCCTTGTAAACAGAGATGGCTTAGATGAGGTTAGAGGACCAATAAGTGGCTTAGCAACCGTTTTCTTCGTACTGTCATTTGTGCAACTCCATTACCTTGGCTTTAGAAGCAACGTGCTCTAAGCAGCTCGTTCCATTAAGCACAGTGAGGTGCTCTGTGACTGGGGGCACTCACTACGTGCTGCTATGTGATCCATGGGCAGAATGGGTGCACAAGGCTTACAGGCCCGTTCTGAAGAGGATTCATTTTAAGGTGCCCCTAGGGAAATCCAACTGCCAAGTATCTGCCACCCAAGAAAGATGTTTCAGACTTGAAACATAATTGACATCGCTTCATCTCCCAACTTATGCTCATCATTTTCAATCTATTTATTACCTGACAGCTACACATAAGTCAAATGACATCACTCTCCAAATTAGGTCTAACAAAACCAGCACTTCAAAAGGTGTGCGGGGCCTCTAGGTACTTAGCTCCATATGAATTAAGACATAAGTGTCTGGAGCTAATAAAGGAGATTTTCACCAGAATCATACATAACGCAGGCATTCTTTTTTCCCCAACAAAATATATTTGAAATTTTAATTAATTAAAAGTATTTCATTAATTATTGATCATCAATACTGGCACAAAGATAGAACATATACAATAAAGCAGAATTCATACACAAAAAGAAATACTTTTACTGGAGCAATAGAGGCTAGATTAACTCACAAACAATAGAACTAAAAGAATCTTTTAAGCCTTCAAAATATCCTGGGAAGTCTTCTTAAAACCAAACAATAATTTATCTTAACTAGTAATGAATATCTACCTCAAGTTATGATCTTTCAAGACCACGGTCTTCGTAATTACTTGCTCTGCATCAGAAAGCTGGGCAGTAACTAGGGATGACAGAAGAATCGATGCCTTTGAGCTGTGGTGCTGGAGAAGAGAACTGAACACATGGTGGACTGCTAGGAGAACAAAGAGGTTCATCCTAGAGAGGTTGAAACCAAAGCTGCTCCCTGAAGGCAAAGATTCTGAAGCTCTATCTGACTACTGAATATACCATGGACTGATAACAGAACAAACAAGTTAGTCTTAAAGCAGCTGAAAACAGGCTGCTCCTTGAAGGCAGGATTCTGAGCTCTGTCTGACATACTCTGGGCATGCTGCAAGGAGGAACCAGTCCTTGGGGAGGGACATCATGCTCAGGAGGGTGGAAGGTCAGTGCAAGAGATGAAAATCCTTGATGAGATGGATTGACTCAGTGGCTAATGTAATGGAGGTAGGTGTGTCCAGAGACAATAAGGTTAGCACAGAATAGAGCAGGGTTCAGAGCTATTGTACATGGGGTCACAACCAACTCAACAGCACATAACAACAACAACAACAAAAGCAAATTCACGGCCATTCAAGCCGACCAGGGCTGTGTTTCTAGCTCACAGCCATCCTCTATCAGTGCTGCTGGGCTATAAATTCTGACAGGCAGTGACTGTCTATCTTCCTTCCTCAAACTGGCTGGGGAGTCAAACTTCAGACCTTTCCATTATCAGTCCAACAGGCAATGCATAATGCCACCAGGGCTTCTTTTAAGTTTTGTGTATATGGAATCAAAATTATGAAAGCACCTCAAAAGAAGAGAGAGGAACCTTAAGGAGTAAGGAGCGTATATTAAAAGGGTAGGACCAACTTGGAAAATGAGAGTGAGCTTGCTGATATAACTCAAAGAATGTAGCCATTTACTGAAAAGTCTAAATTGCTATTCCTTGAGTTTTTTGTTTTGCCCAGTGCTTTCAGTGAAAATTAGAATTTTTCATTCAATTATCATCTAACCTTTTTTTGTTAACTTCCTCTTTTTTAAAAAAAATGTTTTGTTTTTGTGAAGAAAGTTGGAAGAAGACAGGTACCTGACCCACCAAGTAGAAAAGATCCATATTTGTGTCCATTCCAAAGAAAGGTAATCCAACAGGATGTGTAAAGTATAACAGTTTAATTAATATACACAAGTGAAAATTTGCTAAAGATAATGAAAAAATAGTTGCTGCATTATACATTCTATATATGAGAAAACTGTCAGAAATTCAATCCAGATTAAAAAGAGAACTTGGAATGAAAAAAAATGTAACCAATGTTACTAAATTGTATGTAGATATAGAAGCTCAAATTGGTATGTATTTTGCTGTGTATATTTTCAACATTAACAACAAAAATTAAGATTTTTATTTTTCGTTTTTTAAGTTTGGGCTGATAGAAAATTTAGTTCTCCTCAAATTATGCAAGGTTATATAAAAACTTACCACCATGTTATTCCACAGTTCCAACTTCCAAAAGACAACAAATAATTAAAAAAATAAACAAACAAACAAAAAAACACCACACACCAAAAACCTAAACAAACCTTTTCTTCTTTTCAAAACATACTTAAAAAGAAAAATGAGCCATTTTCAAGAAGGTATTTATTACCTGAAGAGTTTGGTCACATCCACCCATATGTACTTTATTCACAAAAACATTGGGCACAGTTTTCTGATTAGTGATCTCTAACAGAACTTCTTGAACACTGGACCCATTATCTAAAGGGAAAAAAAAAGTTAAATATATGAAAACACAGAAAAGGGGCCTAAACTTTTGAGTTGAACTGTATATGTTACAACATCCAAAAGTTTAAGTACATATCCATAAAAAAATCATTATATAATTAATGAACTGATATCAGGGTAGAGAAATTACTTACCCTTTCAAAGGAAGCTCTACTTTAAAATAACAAAGATCAAGCTATGGTTCTTTAAAAATAAATCCTTCTAAATTTGATTACGATATATAATTCATTGGCTATTCTGTGACAAAGAGATGAAACTCCACTATAAAACACATAAAAAAATAAAATAGTAAGACCTCGGAAAACGTTTCCTGTATTTGTAAAATCTTAATGATCCAAGTCTAATAGTTCATCTCCCATCTCAAAAATATAACCAAACCATGACTACTTAACATTATTAAATTTGGCATACACTTCAGAAACATCAGTCAGATTAAAGAATTTTTTTCACTTATAAAAGAAACATGGCTAAAACAAGTTGGTATAGTTCCCTGAAAGGAGAGATCCAAGCTTTTTCCATTCTAGACTTCACACTGGTTCAAAATGGATCAATCCTGACTGACAAAGTGAGACCAGAACAGACCTGAATTTTCAAAATTAAGATGATCTAGTATGTTAACCACCCAGGAAAGAATTATAGACCCAAGCTTTGGAAAAGGAGACTCGGGAGATGTGTAATGAGCCCTACCAGGAGCCTGGGACTTGTCATTGATTATTGCCAGAACTGTGGAGTGACATGCAAGGCAGTGCAGGCAGCTGCCCTTCTCTGAGGCAGGCATAGCTAGTCAACAGATTTGGTTTCTATGCAATCTATACACAATCCTATTTCCTAAGAGGGAGACTATTTCTAGAAGGGCTTTGACCTGTAATCTTCAGTCAGCATTCCCACAGGTGAGTGTCAGGGTGACTTCTTCAACTGATGAAAAGCCCTGTCCAGTTCACCACGACGTTCTCTGCCTGTCCAATTCACCATGACAATCTCTGCCTGTTCAGTTCATCAGGACACTGACTATTCTATTCACCACAACATTCACTGCCTGTCCAATTCACCACGACATTCTCTGCCTGTTCAGTTCATCACTATATACTCTGCTTGTGTAAAGTCCTCAAAGAATATTGGAGGAATGGTGGGAGGGAATGGCAAAGGTTTATCAAGAACTCAACAATGTAACACTAAAAAAATTGTGTTCCCTTTCATTATAATACAACTTAGAAAAAGGAGCCAGTTCTTTCATTTAAAACAGCTTCATTTATTTTACTGGAAAGTTGGCAGATGCATCTGAAATGCCTCAAGTACTTCAAGGAAGCAGTTTATATAAAGCACTCCAAGGAAGCAGTCTTCTTCCAATTTTCTCTCAAATACAAATATATACTAGCAAATAATCTAAACCAACTTTTTTACATGAGTGTATTTTTCTCCACAGCTGAAGGCAGGCTAAATAGTTCATCTAACTCAAGGGGACAAACATAAATTAAATAGAAGACAATCTTGTTGGCATTTTTTAAAAACAAATACTATATACTAACCATTATACTTACCAATCTTATCAAGTTCCAAAGCATTATATTCAACTCCCAAAGAAGAAAAGAGTTCTTTAACCTGTAACAAAAAATTAACTAAGTTTCACTCTCGTGATAAGAGTTATAAAATGTAGGCACAGTAATCAGAGATGTCCAAAAGACATTTTCTGGGGGGTATAGCTCAGTAGTAGAGCATTTGAATGTAAAATACATTTTCTTCAGGAATATGAGTTCTGAGCCATATGTTTATTCCCTTTACATATTCCCAGAATAATGTGAGTGAATCCCTTGCCTTCTTTTACCAGTTGGATCCTCATAATGCCTATTCCAGTTTTCTGAACAATATTTAATTCTCCATCAGGTTCCTCATACAAAATGCCCAAAATGTAAAACTTCTTCCATATACCTTTTCATGTGTTTCCTTTCAGCTTTCATTAAGTCTTTCAGAAAATATTACCCATCTAAACTTAGTATGTGCCATTCACTGTTCCAAATACGTAAGATCTAATAATGAACAATGTCTAGCATACATCCCTTTTTCTAGACAGGAAGACAGGTAAGTAAACAGATCAGTTAAATATACCACCAGTCAACAGTTTAAACAAGAAACCCTGAAACATTTCTACTAAAAAATTGGGTAAAGGTACAACAGCATATCCATCACCTAGAAAATGTTTACAAACGCAGAACCAAGTTATAAATCTGAATCCTACTGCCAAAAGGGCCCTTTAGAGTAGTGAGAGAAGATCTTCACCCTGAAACCCACAGCATCCCTTTTCAGCAGGAAGTAGCTAAGAGAATACGCCATCCCCTTTTCCTTATGAATCAGGGTGAAGTCTCTCTCAGGGAGGAGTGATAGGGAATGGCAAAGGATACACTGACAAAGAAGATTAATCAGAACTGGCTTTGACAAGCACTGTGGCAATTGGACAATTAAAACAGACATTCGGATGGCAGGGAAGAAGAACAAACTGGGGAGGAGGGTAGAGAGAATGGTGCAGCAATGAAGGAATGAAAACCCAAAATCCTTGTAAATGTTCATTAAAACTAATAAAATTTAATAATAATTAAAAAAAAACTTTTAAAAGCACTGACTACGACTTACTTTAATGCTATCGCAATGTCTTCTCATCCTCATACTGATTTCCCATCCATCCAATTAATTATGAAGTCTTTAAAAAGTCACAATTTTGAAAACAACACATTTTGAATGTCTAAAAACCACAAGTCTCTATTTTGAACTGGTTGGTTTTTCTAGGTCTCCAAAATGGCTATCATTCATGACCCATGCCTACTACCAGAACTGATCAGTAACATTCTAACTGCTCTCTGTACATCCACTTTTGTTCCCTTTGTTTTATAAATTCACTTTTAAAAACCACTTTCCCCCAAAACAACTATGAAGTATTTCATTCTAGCAACAACAGCAAAGTTCAACAGGGCAGTGAACAACAAATGCTGGTGAGGCTGTGGAGAGATTGGAACTCTTATTCACTGCTGATGGGAGTGTAAAATGGTACAGGCACTATGGAAGGCCTCTGACACTTTCTCAAAAAGCTAGAAATACAAATATCATTTGACCCAGCAATCCCACTACTGGGAATATACCCTAAAGAAATCAGAGCCATAGCTCCAAAACACATGTATGCACATCCATGTTTATTGCTTAGTTATTCACAATAGCAAAGAGATGGAAGCAACCCAAGTGCCCAAAACCAAACAGACAGATAGAAAAACTATAGTACATTCACACAATGGAATACTACACTGCAATGAAAAACAATGAACATGTAAAACATTATACAACATGAGGAGCATGAATGACACATATGGAGTGAAATATCTCAGCCACAAAAGGATAAATATTACATAATACCGCTGTTATAAAATAAGACCAACATGGAGTGGGAGTTGGGGAGGGAATGAAGAAAGAGTAAATAAGATAATTAACACTGCTGTATATCAGATAAGGGTAAGAACTGTCCGGAAGGAACATATGATTAGTCATTATATAGATGACAATAATCTGGAACATGGAGTGTACAGCAAGATAGGCTGGTGGGAGGGAGGGGAGAAAAGGGGAGGAAAAAAACCCAACAAATTGCTTCTTTTACCGTATTATTTTAAAACTCTTCCAAGTCACTTAGTCATCAAGATAAACTAAAATCCAACCAGACTAACAGTGGGATTGGGGGGAGAATGAAAAAGATGGGATAAATAATGTATACTGCATTGAAATAGATGAGGGAGAAAACTGTTTAAAAAAGGGATATAGGATTAGGTATTATTGTCATGAGAGGAGTCTAGATCCAAGGCTGCATAGTGGACTGGACTTGGAGGGAGGGGTTATATAACAATGAAAGAATTTTTCTTTTACTTTTCAAAGAGAAGAACGAACTGGGGGGGGGGGGTTTAGGGAGAAAAGTGCAACAATGAATCAATGGAAATTAAAGTAAAAAAATTTTTTTAAAGGATAAACTAAAACCCAAAGGTCTCATTCATGGAATAAGAGGATAAAGACCTCTAGGGGCCTCACTCTCCAGCAAAATAATCCAGTGAAAATTACTTAGAAAGCAACCAATTAAATTCACTGGAAATTGTCCTAAGGGAATATAGCAAATAAATGTTTATTCAAGAAAATCTACTCAATAGTGTGGTGCCTGTGAATTTCATCACAGCTGTATTAAGAAAGAAATTATTGTTATGGAGAAAAACTGCATAAACAGTAAATTTTAAACATTGACATTTTTCATAACCTTTTGCAATAAAATGCAATAACAGGTTCATTAACTGAAAAAGGAAAGAAAATCTACTACCTCTCAGTAAAAATGAGTCTGTAGCCCTTGGCTTTCCTCTTTCTTCCATTTCTCTCCCATCTCTCAATGTTGTTGCCATTTTCAGATGCATGGAGTTAGTTCCCACTCATCAACTTGTCATGGCCCAATGCATGCAAGCATAAGAAATGTTCATTTCAATTGGGTGTGTTGTTATTGTCATGTACCACTGAGTAAACTCCAACTCACAGGGAGCCTACACACAATAGCTCTGAGCCCTGCTCTATCGTGACCCAATCTTACTGCCTCTCTCAGCAACTAGTTAAGGTATATGGTATCTCACCTGAAGCGTTGTTTCTAGGTGTTTTCAAGTCGACCAGGACTCATAGTGACCCTATGAATAATGGCTCTGAGCTCTGCCCTATCCTGAGCCAACCTGTCTCTGACACATCTGATCTTACTGCCACAGTCACTGTCAATCCATCTAATCCAGGGTTTTCCTCTCCTGTATTGACCCTTCCAAGTATAATGTCCTTCTTCAAGGACTGGACACATGGCTAATGTATGTGAGATGGAGCCTCAAACTTCTTGACTCCAAGGAACAGCTTCATTTACTCTCTCCAGCATAGACCTCTTTGTTTTCTTGGCAGCCCATGATATGTTCAATACTCTTCTCCATCACCACAATTCAAAGGCATTGATTCATTTTCTGTTACCTTATTCACTGTCCAGCTCTCCAATGGATAGCAAGCAACTGAGAAGACCATGGCCTGGATCAGGCACACCTTAGTCTCTAAACTGACACTGCTACACTTCAGCACTTGGGAGAGGTCCCTGACAGCAAATTTTCCCAATCTAACTTGTCTTTTTATTTTCTGACCGCTGTTGCCAAAAGTGCTGATTATGTAACCAAGCAAGATAAAAAAATTTACAATCTCAATCCTTTGTCCATCTATCATGATACTACCTTTTGACCTATTCTATACTAAGAATCTGTTTTCTTGATGTTGAGATACAATCCATTTGGAGGCTGTAGTCTTTGACTTTCTGCAAAAAAAAAAAATGCTTCAGGTCCACCTCAGTTTCAATTAGCAAGGCTGTGCCATCTGCATAATGTAGGATGTTGATGAGTCTTCCTACAATACTAATGCCACAATCTTCTTCATAAAGTCCAGCCTCCTAAATGATCTGCTCCACATATAGATTGAAAAGGTATGGAGAAAAGGACACATCCTTGACACACTCCGTTCTTGATATTGAACCATGAAGTGTTCTCTTCCTCTGTCCAGACAGCTGATTCCTGTTCTAGGCATAGGTTTTGAAAGAGCACAATTAAGTGTTCTGGGATTGACATTCTTCTCAGTGTCAGCTACAATTTATAAAACTAGAGACATAGGTAACTCTACACGAAATTTCACTATGATCTCGTACTCCAAATGAATGTCACTGTCTGGAGAAAGAAATAAGAATTTCAGGGGTAGATAAAAAGTATGCTTGCCTCAAGGAGGATGACTACCTCCTCTGACCACAGAAAAGAAGGTAAAACTATATTAAACAGGTTGGAGCCTGTGCTGCCTCAGTAAGCATAAGCCCTGTGTTGAAGAAAGTAAGTACTGTTTCTATAAATTAGGAATTGTTTCTCCAGATAGAAAGGGTCCTGTTATCTTGGGACTAAAAATAATGAAATGCAGATTAATAACTGACTATAAAACCCCAACTGTGTGAAAGAAGTAAGGCAGTCTTGGGAGACTCTCACTGCCTTCCAGATCCATTTAATAAAAGTTTCGAAGAAAAACAATTCTGCTTCAATTATACATCTAGCCTCAAGACTGCATAAAATCTGGACCCTTTGTTGTCTAGTAACAATTCCGCAATTCCCCACAGCTCCAAGGCAAAAACTGAATTCCTCTATGTGACCAAGAAATTGTTCTTTGACTGAACCCTGACTCACAGGTCAAAGGCACTAACCCAGGACAAGCAGGCTGAATATATTGGGGTCCCAAAGATCTTCATCCCAGCTCATTCACTGAGTAAGATTCCATACCAAGAGAGCTAGGATGAAAATTTGGTCAGAGGCTACCCTCTGCAGGCAGTGCCCAGCTCATAAAACAAGGATGTCACTCAGAAAGAAGTTGTAAAGTCTCTGGGCACAGATGCAGATGCAGAGGAGGAACTCAGAAATTTTGCCCAGGGGAAGAAGCAGTCATCATAAACAGCAGACTCTGAGCTTTTCCCAAAAAGACTGTGGGAAAGTTCAAGTCTGTGGTAATTCTCAAAAACAAGGATTTTTAGGCTAATTATAAAGAACTGTGCAGCAGCTCCAAAAGAACAAAGTGAACCAAAACCCAGCTACTTTAGCAGAGAGAACAAGGGGCAAGGACGATTAATATCTCTTAGGATCAAAGCAAATGTCAAAGAACTGCCTCAAAAGCTGTCCTCACCCCTAAAAGGAGCCTGAATTTAATTGGATCAGATAGTGGAACAATTAATATTCCAGGGTATTGTCAAAAACAATAGTGAAATCAGGGTGCAACTGGTGGAACAAAACATCTAAGTGTTTTTCCAAGAGGGAGACAATAGATTCAGCATAAGAGACAGTCAACCAGAACCATGCTAAAACTCCTATCATCCCAGGTGTCCATGTACGAGGCACCATGCTAAGGTGCAACATCAAAAGCTTCACCTTGGATTGGAAATACACTTTGCTAAAATAGCAAAGTCACTAAAGAAGCCTAGGGAAGGAGAGATTAGTACCAAGTTGACATAGTCCAAACAAAAACTATAAAACTTGCAAAGCAGTAAGAAAGTATGATTCATCTACAAGAAGGGGAGGGAGGAGGAGGTACTGCATGAGAATGCCCAGATGTCAGATTTAACAAAGTAATTATAATAAGTATTACAAGAACTATGAGTAAATGAGTGAAGGAAGGTGCTATGACAATGTTTCATCGATAATTAAATTAAAGATAAAGTAGGAAAAGGTTTCACTTAAATAAAAAGAGAATCTAAAAATATTATAGCTGACTTCTTATCAAAAGCAATGGAGGTTAAATAACTTAAAAATGGCTACGGCAGAGGGGTGAGTAGAGGAGAGGGTGTGAGCCAAGGCTCAAAATTTAGCAAAATTATCTTTCAAAAATAAAGGTCAGGAAAATAGTTTTGTAGTTCCTAAATGTTTGTTGTTGTTTTGTACAACAGAGTCAGAACTGACCCATAGCTGACCCTCCAGTGGGTATTCAGAGGCTTGAAGAGACTGCCCCTCCTACTGTAGAGCATTTGGTGGACTCAAACGGCATGCCTTTGAGACTGCAGCACAGATTCTTGCCACTGGGCCACTAGAGCTCCCTAAACATGTTTAACATGTAACACTGTTGGCAATGGCAGCCACTCCAAGGATGTGGGCCAGAGTAAAGCTATACTGGGGTAAGAAAATGCTAACAGATGCTAACTTAAATTCACAAAAACAAACAAAAATAATCATAAATGGTAAATAGGATGAACATAACAAACTTCATGTGTCTTTTCTTCTCTTTTACATGATTTAGAGATATAGAATATTATAACAATAATAGGTTTATAACTTATACAAATAGGTCTATAACATATATAAGTATAATATAGAGAATATGAATAAATGCAATTTAAGTAACAGCACGAAAAGAGAAAAGCAGAAATGAAGCTATAGAGGAACAATGTTATGATACTTCATTGACATTAATATAAATTCAAAATACATCCTGATAAGAGTTAATATAGACAGTCCTAGAGAAAATACTTAATATGGTTAAAAATTAACTAATCATGAGGGCACCAAAGCTCCTTAATTAGTTAATCAATCAAATGAATTAAAATACTATATGAGACTTTCTGGAGAGAGGATGAAAGGCACCCAAGCGTCGAGGACTCTCCTTCATAGGGCCACTATGAGTCACCTGTAACTCGACGGCACTTAACAACAACATGAAAGTAAAAATGGAAGCCTATAAATGACATGACATGTTGTTGTTGTTGTTGTTACTGACTGCCTTCAAGTCGAGCACAACTCACAGCAACCCTACGAACAAACGGCCTGAAGCCCCTCTATAACTATCAACATATATCAAAGTTTATAGGGTTTCCGGAGGCAAGTTGTTTAGAAAGCGGATGCCACTCCTGCTTCCAAACCTGTCACAGAATGTTATTGGTTGAGTTGCCTGCAATGCAAAGCGACCCTATGTACAGCGGCTCTGAACCCTGCCCTGTCCTGAGCCACTCTCACTAATTCTGACACACCATCCCTCACTGCCCCTGTCACTGTATCAATCTCATCCTGGCTCTTCGTCTCTTGTGCTGTCTGTCTACCCTTCCAAGCATGATGTCCTTCTTCAAGGACCGATCTCTCCTACCCACATGCCCAAAGTAAGTGAGGCGGAGCTTCAAAATCCTAGCCTCCAAGGAGAGACGTGACTTCACCCTCTCCAAGACAGACTGATTTGTTTTCTTGGCAGTCCATGGTAT